GTGTTGGTGAACTAAATAAATAAATAAAATAATATAAAATAAAATAATAATTATTGGCACACGGGAGTTTTCGTCCTGCATTTGGAACATTTAGGGTCGTATTCTAGAACTCTACTCAATGCCAAGTCAGGATTGCAATGGAAACACAAGCACTGGAAATACGGCCCTAATGGCAAGGACTTGTGTATGATTGAATACGACCCTTAGTATGTAACGTGTTTTAGGGTCGTATTCCAGAACTCTACTCATTGCTCAAGTCATGACATGAGTATTGCAGTGAGCACTGAAAATCATACTCAATTCCTTGCCATTAGGGTCGTATTTCCAGTGCTTGATATCATACTCAACTCTGCTCAAGTCCTGACTTGAGCATTGAGTAGAGTTCTGGAATACGACCCTAAAGGACTTGAGTAGGATTTCTAGTGCTTTTCTGGAATACGAAGGCATTTCGAAACACGGTGCGGTGGTGTGGTCGGATACGAAGGAACAACGTTCGTGAGGAAAAAGAAAATGTCTGCTTTGATCTTTTGATACTTCGATGTACACTAAAACCTAATTTGTAGTAACTGCCCCAACCACATTATTAAATAAATCATCTATGCGCACTTAAAGAATGGAAAAAAAAAAATGTGCATGACATCGTATGACATTGATCTCATTCGGAAACATTCTTTAAAATGTAATTAATATATAACCCATTATAGCAAAATCAATTTAATATTAATATAACACTACTTTATTTTAAATTGTAATAAATTGGCAACATTGTTGAATACGTGTCAACTTTGGTCGACGCGTTGTGAGCCAACTCGGTCGTCTTTCATTCGTAACTTGAATATTTCGCTTCTTATGCACACGTGAATTTTTCGTTAGAATAGGTTCTCTTTTGACAAACAAAGGACGTTCCTGACTTAAACATGGTAAGAAGGATTACGTCCAAATAATTAGACAGTTTTAAAAGTTCGTTGTTGGCAGTAGATATCTAATCTTGTTGGGTTTTAGCCACCTTCTCCAAGTTCTACATCTGTAGGAGCCGGAGGTCGCTCACCAAGCAAGGCAACTGCCGCCCCGCGTTCTACCAGTGGCGGCACGGTGCGACAGCGCAAATCTACCACCACGACTACTGCAGCCCGGAATCGTAGTACTGGCGCTGGTTCAGGGGGTATGTGGCGCTTCTACACCGATGACTCTCCTGGTGTTAAAGTGTAAGTCAACCAGTTGTAAAGTAAATATGTGTACCTAGGTACAATAAGTTCAGTGCTATTAAATTTGTCCATACTGAAATGCACTTGGTTTAATTGTTTTTTTTTATTTGTTTTCAGTGGCCCAGTTCCAGTGTTAGTAATGTCTCTGTTATTTATTGCATCAGTGTTCATGCTGCATATCTGGGGCAAATATACCAGAGCGTAAATAACAATTCAGTAATAATTATTTTGTTACTTCTGACTGTGGAAGAGAGATTGAATATTGTGATGGAGTGATTTTATACTTGAAATGAATAGTTTTAATAAATTATGTAATTATCTGAAGTAAATTAAGTTTTAAGCATTCAGTGGCAAATTTGCGATGGTTAATGCATATTCTACTTTATGCATTGGTAAATAGCATATTTGAATTTAAACCAACACGATGAGCCCTGTTGTTGTATTTAATTAAAACAAGTTAATAAAAATACATATTTGTTTATTACATTTTACAAGTTTTTGTTTTGTTCCTTAATATAATTATTAATACTTAACATCTAATTAGAAGAGAGCATTACTTCGTGGAGTTATTTACAAAATCAGCCTTATTGAGATTCGCTGCCAATTTACAAGCAACATATAATTTAAATGCTATGAGTTCAGTTCATAATAAATATGACACCATTCAAACATAGGCCTCCACTCTCCGACCTTTAATTCTGTCAAAGAATTGACGCCAAGAAACAATTGTTTTGCCTGACCAGATCCAAAAACTAGAAGTAATTCCAACTATCATGGTCATGAGATATTTTATCATGAACATTTCAAATTTAGGTCTTTCTATCTCATGTCGCATGATAGGACATGGGATGGAATAAAGTGGGTTGGCACATAAGTCTCGATTCCAAGTTATCATCCAGTTATCAAAATGTGCTTGCTCATAAAACAAACAAGCAATCACAATAAGAGCAGGCACAGTATAAAGAACTCCAAACACACCAATACGTATCATCAATTTTTCTAACTTATCAGTTTTGGTACCATCATGCTTCATGACAGTCCTTATACGGAAGAGAGACACAAATCCAGCCAAGAGGAAGACTGTTCCTAGTACCAGGTAGACACACAGTGGAGCCAAAACAAATCCACGAAGAGCCTCTGCATCCCACAAGCCAACATAGCACACTCCGGATAAAATATCACCTGAAACAAAGTTACACAGTTTAAAAATGTATAAATTTATTTTAAAGATGTCAATACCATTATTCCTACATTCTACAATTCTATCTATTAATGATGAACTTTCACATGTATATATATGTATGTGTAAAATTTTCAAATATTCTATTTTGGATTGAATTATTTATTTTCATAGAAATATATTTTTTATTTTACGTAATTGCTTTTAATTAGATTTTTCTTAATTAAAAAAAATAATATAATAATAATAATGCACACACTCAACATATATATGGGTTGTTACTTTCATTTTAAACTCTAGGTTCAGACATATACTTACATATTTTATTAACATTATAAAAACCAATTAAACTACTTTGTACAAACACTGAATAACTCACCATCAACCTTACCCATAGCCAGAATGGATATAGTCTTCACAGCAGGCACAGCCCAAGCTGCCAAGTGAAAGTACTGAGAATTAGCCTCAATAGCTTCATGTCCCCATTTCAGACCAGCTGCCAAGAACCAAGTGAGGGTCAAAATGACCCACCAAATACTAGATGCCATGCTAAAGAAGTAAACAACCATAAATAGAATAGTGCAAGGCTCATGTTTTGTTCCTTGTGTAATTACAGATATATTTGGCAGCCTTGTGCCACTGATCGTTGATGGAAAAGGTCCTTGACAGCTAATGCTGTCCCCTGAGCTCCACCCCATCACATAAGCTGTAGCCACCATTAAGTAACAAACAGAGAGAAAGATAATTGGCCGTTCTGGATACTGAAATCTATCTGTATCTATCAGGAATGTCAACACAGTAAACAAACAGCTGAGTGTGCATAGAGTTGCCCAAATTCCAATCCACAGTCTGGCAAAGTATTTCTCATCTTGACTGAAGAACATGCCATTGCATGGAGCACCACAATCATATTCTACCTTATTGTTTATTTTCAAGGAGTACTCAAGGTCCAAGCTTTTTGGAACTTTAAAATGAACTGGACAAACAAAGCCGTAATCTTTGCCACCTTGATATTTGGTGGAATCCATATTATTATTGGTTTTGAAATCAACCTTTGCATGTTTCGATTCTGTATTTGTTCTTTTGCTTGATTCATGTGTTGTATTCTTATCACCAAAGCATATACCATGCGTGTCTAAAGGAAATTTTGAACAGTCAAGATACTCTGGCCACGAAAAACCGAAGTTAATCATCAGTTCATCACAATTATGCCTCGCTGATTCACAGAGGTGTCTGCAAGGTGGAATTGGAGTATCTAGTATGGTGCACACGGGAGCATACACTGAGCACAGGAAAGCTTTAAGGTCTGGAGAGCAGTTCACTTTGATCAAGGGGGTGAACTGATGAACTTCGGGCCCTGCATCTTCTTGCTTGGCGTGGTTCAATAAATTCGGAAAAATTGTTTGATTGTACATAATTTGCTGACAAAATGGTATAGTAATCGGTTCACACCGGCCATGGTGAGGTAATATATCACCTTGTACAACAGTTACACGCGAAGTTTCAGTAATGGCAAACAAATAATGCACTTCGAGAACAAGCAAGATCCACACTTTCCCCATTGTAAAAACATGTATAAAAATAAAAAATAAACTTGATTCACTGATATTGTATCACATTCCATTCACATAATGATTTTGTTTGATCAGTTTACAGGTATAATTCATTACAAAATGTAAGGTAAAAATACAATAAATAAAAAGCAGCCATGAGACTCTGGGCGTTTTGTTAGTTTATTTTTAAATTTTTGTGGCTATAGTTGTTCTAAATTAGACGTAAACTGTACGTCATAGTATTTCCAGAGGAAAAAAAATAAGTTAAGGGTTTAATGTTTATTGTTATTTGCCTAAAGCATGAGTAATACTCGATGGCTTATAACATGTAGGGCGGGCTATTAGCGTTATTTCTCGAAAAAAACTTTCTGCCACTTTTTGACGTAGTATAGTCTGTTGTACATATTATAAGCAAACAGGTGCACTCAATTGCAATATTGAGTTGTGACACTGTGGTCTCACACAAACGAAAATCGACAACACTAGCTTATTGTTACATATACACAGATAAAATACACATTCATGTCATGTCCGTACACAGAATACGCCTATAAAAATAAATCGATTCTCATGAATATACTAGAGATGAAAGGTATCGACGTGACGGTATCGCTATATATTACGTACTGGTTATTCACGTATATGAAAAACGTAATTCCACACCTGGCTAGACTGGATGTAGAGGATTTCTTTTTGCAATTTTGTGAGTAGTGTAACAGTGGTATTGTTTTATTTGTATTTGCCAGAGGAGATAGCCCATTGACTTACCAATAAATGGATGACAATAAGTAAAATCTAAAGTCTAATCCAAAAACCACGAAAAAAATGTCCAAAATTTTTACGGCTTTTCGCAGTCAGCGTTGGAGCCAATGACAAGCATGGCCGGAGTTAATCTATACAAACGTATAAAGAAACAAAAAAAACTGAATCATTTCATTTGAATTGTACAGTCATTGCAGTATTCCTTAACTTTGTTTGCCACAATTTAAAGGCCCAAAAATTGTCCATATTCAGCATTCTAGTAGACTAGAAATAACAAAATGCACCATATTTAGCTTCTAGTGAGAAACTACTTGAACACAAAAGTGTTGAGTAGTCTTAATGACAATATTAATTAAATTTGCAGTATTATGTTCAATTTTATACGAATTCACTTCAAGTAACGAGTACCTACATACAAATATTATAAATGTGAAAATAGCTGTGTTTCTCTATTGGTAGTTCCAAAGTGCTGTAAGAAAGGTATCGAGTTTCTAGATTACAACTAAACGTCAACTCAAAATTTCATAGTCTCGAAAACCGATGTGGCGGTGTGACCTCCTTACATCGTCGTTATTTTTGTATCGCTTCTTTCCATTCGTATCGTACCGTTTTTTCTTCTACCAGCAGCGGCACACGCTTTCACTAATGTGAAATGTCGATTGCAAGCTACATTACAATCCACCAGAACAGCACCAGCCCTTCTACAGATTTGCAACATAACCGTTATGCTGTCAGGGGATTTTGGTTGCTTATTACAAAGAAAAGATTAAGGTGGTTTGAAAATTCGTAAAATAATTTTAAAAAATACATTTGGGATTACAAAAATTCGAGCAAACATAATTTCGGGCAAACGTATTTTCGGACTTCTGATTGATAACTCCAAACAGTAAAACGAATACAACAATATTTTGTTAGTTATTTATTACTAACATTTAGTAAAAAGTTTTTTTCATTTTTTTTCAGTTTAATTTTAAAAATAAGATTAACATTAAATGAACTCTATAGTTTCTTTGTTCTAAATATTTCAATCGCTTGTGTGTGACGAAACTGGTCTCTTTCCGTCTTTTGCGCATATCTTGTGTAAGATAAGGACAGTTAGCTATTTTGGTTATTGTGATAGCTTTTGCAATTTACGAGTATGTGTATTGTATGTAAGTGTGTACTCGTATATGTACTTTTTATTTTTATTTTTTTTCTTACAGTACGGTATGATTTATGATTTATATTAAAACAATTACAATTTATTTTCATTATTTACAATTTATTACATTATTATTTCATTTTTTTTTAATTTATTTATTGTATAAAGGACAAAATACACAAATATGTTTCTAATCGCATTTTAAACCACTAAGGTTTGTCATAATGCGACCATATAATACGACGGAGAAATCAATTTGAATAAACTTCGTTACATAATCTATCCATAAAAATTTGAGCTAAAAAGCACGTTCGCTTCTCTATAACGAAAAAACAGCGTTCATGAAGTATTGCATTTTTTTGTCTGTGGTGGCCTTAGAGGATGGAAAAAATATTATTAGGTTATTTGTTAGAAAAAGTGCTCCAGCCAAGGCTATCCAAAAAATATAAAAATTAAACTTGTAACAAAAACTAAAGTAAAAATACCAAAAACTAAAAATACCACTCTTGAAAACTATTTTTTGTAACTTTTTATTCGTACTTTTATCAACACAAAATCAAAAATTATGCTTACGGGGCTACGGGTAAATTTGACAATAAAATCTGTTTAGCCAAAGCCTCAAATAAATTAAAGAAAAAAAACTGATAGTGACAACTGGCTGTCAAATTTTCCAAACTTTCGGACTGTGTTGGTCGGTGTCGCTCCATTTTTAAATCAAATTTCATATGTTCATTACGCATTTGGAGCGTTTTTAATGATTAAAGATGGATTTACCTGGTGAAAATATAGATTTTGTGAAATTGCGTAACGTTAAAGGAAATGTGGAAAACATAACACCTCATAAAATAGCTGTTGTTGCGTTTATTAGGGAATATGGTTTACTGAAGATTGAAGGTTTGCAGCTTACTATTTTGTTTATAAACCAATGAATTACTTTTTGTGTAAGTACACTAGTAATATAACAAACTATTTCTTTTTAGCGAAAAAAATGGTCGATTGCACGATGTCTCCAAAATACAGAAAAGACTTTTGTATCCTCGCTTTGAAATTAATACAGGTAACTTTTTGTACCAAATTAATAATTTTTGATATGGCACTTAGTACGTTCGTCTTTTACCACGATTGTAAACTTATTTATAGTGTCCAGATATGGAATTCAAAGAACTGGAAGCATTACTCACTGATGGGAGGTACAATCTGCTGAGTGTTCACCTTCAGAACTTTTGCGTGCGTCTGCAAAACATTTATGTAAATGGCATCAGTGCACTGATGGATTGTGTTACTTCTACTATAGACAAATTGGTACATGAGCCAAATGGGAGTTATTCTTGCATAACTAGATCAAGTGTTTTAGGTAATTGCAAATCTTTACTTCTTTATATTATTTACCCTCAATCCCACTCTTTAGAGGACAGCCGCACCTAGCTGTGTGATTATTGTTATTATGTACATCTATTTTAGACTAATTATCATTATTGGGGTGGCTTAATTCGGGGCCTATGCAGCCCCTCATCACTGGAACAAGTAACTGATCTAATGTGATCACCACTAATATTACACTTTGGAGTCAAAGCTGACAGCATTAAAGAACTGCAGTTCTTTCTACAGTTACAGCACTTTCTTGGCTCTGACAGTTTTATATCCTCTGGTTGTGGCCTGTGCCTTTCCAGTATGGAACTTCATATGGCGGGGGCAGCATTGGGTAAGCATTTATAGAGGAATTACATCCACCATGGCAGAATCTACACTCTCTGTTTTCTCTCTGCCCAATATTTGACTTGTCCTTGTTCAAGCCACAATGCCCTGTTAAGGCTGTAGGATATGTACATGGGTTATTACAGCACTCTTTTTGCTGCACTCTGTTTTAAACTTTTTGTAAGATTTCACTTATCACACAAATTACATCTTTATTTTTTATTTTTACCTACATTTTTTAGCACAACTTTTAACAGAAAGGAATGAAATGTTTTCTTAATTTTCTAGGTTTCTACTTAAGAAGGATAGTGTTGCAATTGGACAAGCTGACTTTTGTACAAGTTGTATCCCTGTACAAATCTTTCTGTCTGTACTACCAAAAGGGCCGACCAGGTTTAATGATTCGATCTCTCAGTTTAGAGGTATATCTACATATTTTTCACGTGGGCTGACAATTGGGGCTTGTATAATAATATAATTATTTAAATTTTGGTACTGTTATCACATTTTTGTAAGTTGCCATTAATTCTGACCTACCTAACGACTTTCTCCATTGCTTTCTATGTACAAATACATATTTAATAATAAAGAAATTGATGCAGGTTGACAAGGCGAAAAATATGTGTATAGAAATTACCTATATTACCAGCAGTGAATTGTGGTTATCTATTAATGATGATGACTATGTTTTAAATTACAGAAATTAAACAACATGGAACAACAAAGTGCAGCTAGCACTGGAACTGTGCCTGAAGAATCGAAAAATGAGCTTTCCATGAGATTGAATATTATTGAACGGGATAAGTTAGTACCTATTGCATCACCTATATAAGATTTGATACCATTTATTTAAAGTTTTTCAACAAATTGTTTGAATTTATTGATATGAAGAATGTGTTGTGCAAAAACAACCCTTTGAAGTAACCTTTTATATTTTCAAATTGTTTTAGTATTTTGGAAGAATGTCAATGGTCTAGGAAGCAAGCAGAACTGTTTACAGCACAGCAAGCAAACTTGCTTCAAATCAATGAGAAGAAAGCAATGCCACCTCGACAACTGCAGAAGACTATTATACAGATTATCAATGATATACCAGATTACCCAGATGTTGTAAGTTTTTCCAACTTATGCAATGCCAACGATTGTAAAACTTTTCTTTTGTGCATTGACCTGTTCAGTCCTAACTAATGGCGTCAATTGAGAATACAGCATCTTTATTAGTTTGTTTACAAAAACCATGTTGTTGCCTGTGCAGCACTTGTAAATTAACTATAAGTATTTGTATATTTCCCTTCCAGCATTTCCTGAGTTTCCTAAACTGTATACGTATGAAAGAGTTCTGCGGTGCTCAAGACTCTCTGTACAATTGTTTCGACCGTACGGTTTTCAGCGTCGCGGGGAACAGTGTGGCTAACAGCGACAGAAACAAAAATTTTCGCTACGCCGCTCTCAACCGCGCGGCTATGCATACTCAATTTGAACATAGGTATAAATTACAATGACACAATTTTCTAAGTGCAAGCGAATGGTAGTTTGTCTCTGCAGGAATTTTATTAAGGATTGTTATAAAAGCTCCGAAAAGTAAATTAAAAGTTAGTTTATTCAAAATATGAATATATCACTGCTTTTGTTTACTAAACTATTGGAAACTTTTTTGCAAATAAAAATACGGAAACCACCGTAATTATATTGCATTAAATACTGAAAGTTCCGAAAAACCTTCCTGATCTAGTAAAGGGTTTTTCAAGAATTTTGTTTTGTAAATGAGTAAAACGATAAATTTAGATGACAATGATTAAAATTTTTATTATATTAAAAAAGTAAGGTTTGACAATTATGAATGAAAAATGATATCTGATAAATGTCCACCACGACCACAGTTACAGATGTCGATTCTTACATCAAAGTTTTTAATCACTTTTTGACAAAATGGTGGGTCGATTTCGTTAATCAATTCGATTGGCTCCATATAGACTGTCTTTAACATAACTGCATAAAAAGTAATCCAGCAGTGTTAAATCACATGATCGAGCTGACAAAATCATGGCTGAATTTCGTGAAATTATGCGATCGGGTAATATGATTTGCAATAAATTCATTGTTTCGTAGGGTGGCACAAGTCACACAACATCACGTCTAACATGAATCTAGCGTGAAACGTCACCGTTGCAAAAAAACTTTCACGCTAGATTTAAACTGAATATAGTTGTATTAAACCATGATAGGGAGATGGCGATGGAAGGCGTGCGCGAGGCGTTGGCGACGGCGCAGGAGGCGGGTGACACGGCGTGTCTTGCGCACGCAGCCGCGTGGGGTGCGCTGGCCGGCGGACGAGCACGTCGCGCCGCGCTGCTGACAAAGATGCCGCGCGCACCGCGCCCTGCCGCTGCCGCCGCGCAACTCCTGGCGCAGCACGCCGCTGTCAATGGCGCGAAGCCGTCTGATGTCTTTCAGGTCATCATCTACAACCCATTTACACGTCCTGGGCACGGTTCTCCCCTCAGGTGAGGGTTTGCGCCGTAGTCCGCCGCGCTGGCCCAATGCGAGTTGGGGACTTCACACATTTTCCGAGGGTTGTGAACCTTCTTCGACGTGCAGGTTTCATCACGATGATTTTCTTTACCAAAAACTTCGCACATAAATTCCGAGAAACTCAGAGGAGCGAACCCGGATTCAAACTCACGGCCTCTGCTTGAGAGGCGGTAGGTCAAACCATTACACTTCTACGACTACTACTTACGACTAGTGGTGCAACAGACTTCAGTTACTGCAACTGCGGATTCCGCTTTTTGACTTGTTTACGGGAGTTTACTACGTTCGCGACGGATGAAGCGTGCAAGCGGATCACTCGCCGGTGGAACAAACGTTTTTAGCACGTTAACGTTTTGTGTTAAATGAAATTGTGAAACCAGAAACAAGTCCTGTTTGGAATTATTTCCTTGAACTCTATAGTATTTATACTTCTGCTTCCGCATACGCTTCCGTTTCGATTAACTTTTGACGTCTATTTCCGTTACGACACTTCCGTTGCATCAGTAGTCGTAATAGTAGTAGTAGTAGTAGTAGGGTCTCAATGCATCATAAGCATAACAGTAATAAGTTCCAAAAACAGTAACACACAGGTCATAATAAGTTTTTCTTTTTCTAGGGACCTGGCACCGTACCTAATCAGGTCAAAAATCCCTTTATTTTTCTTGACATCACTACGGCCGGCCTAGTAATCTCTAGTATCTACGTATAGCATACGATATTTTTGTTAATCATCATCCACATCCAAACTTTACTCAAGTTTTTTTTAATATTCCCGCTTTGTACACAGATAATAAACAAAGGAGACTCCATCAACTACATGCACTCGCTGACCGATCTCACCATGGGTAGCCTAGCGAACACGGCTGCTCTCTGGTCTCTGTACGGTAAAACGGAGATGGCATCCGTCAGCTGCCAGCTGCTACTTAATTTAAATACAAGTGAGTCTTAACATAAGACATAAGGTGAAGGTATCTTCACCAGCTAGCCTCTACATTTTATTAAAACTTTATTTCGTCACATGTTAGAAACTCAAACTTTAATCATTATCGTTTTCCATTGAGTTCTATGCAACCGTCCACACAGCGGTAGCGACGGGCGCGGTCCAGCCGCGGTTCTTAGCGGACTTCGACGATGTATGTTTTTATAACTCAAGAGTGTGTTTTTATTATAGTGCGCGCGGAACTAGCTGGCCGCGCCTTAGGTATGTGAGCGGTGGGACGGGGAGGCGGGGGCACTTGATGTCATTACTCAGAATACTCAGTTCGGCGCCGGACTTCGCGGCGGCAACACACGTTGACAGTTCTGGCTAGTTTAGACAAAACGCACAAGAGATTGCAATGTCAAGATGAGTCCGCCGATAAAAAGACAATCTAAGGAAATAATATTTAAAGTGCATACGTTTTTTAAAAAACGGAAAGCCGATGTCAATAGTTTAGAATATAAAACTGATGCGAATATTCATAAATTAGTGGCAGAAGCAACCGGGATATCAGAACGAAGTGTAAGGAGAGTGATTGCTCAAAGTAAAACATCCTTGCAAAATACAGGGGAAGCAAAATTTAGTTCTCCACGAAGGCCAAAAGAGATAAAAAAGAAAATACAAGTTGATGATTTTGATTTAGGAGTGATAAGAAGAAAAATAAATCAGTTTTATACGGTACAGAAAACAAATCCAAGTCTACGAAAACTAAATGCTGTGTTAAAAGAGGATAATTTTGATTTGAAAGAATTTATTTCAGACTACATGTCCATATAATGTTAGTAGGAACTTAAATAACTATGTTAGTAGAATGCAAAATTTTCATTTTCGTTTACATGAATGGACATCCAATGTTTAAGGATTGGGCTGTCCATCCTCTCTGCTATCACTCTAAGAAGACTGTTGGTACTGCCCCTCACTCTGGCCAGCAAGGAAGCCACTCTTTTCCGAATGATGGCCTGGAAACCGTCGATTCTAGCCTCCGTGAACATCCCAGAGGCACTACAGTATCGAGGCAACCCCATCAGTCCCCTTAGGGCATTGTTGAATTGGACTCGCAGGGCACTGTAGGCTTTTTTGGTGTAATTGCTCCACAGGTTGCACGTGTATAGTGTCTGACAAAAAGTTTTAAAGAGGGTGATTTTCACCTCATGAGAGCATCGTGCAAACCTACGGGCCAGCATGTTACACCTTACCGCCAGTGCCCTGCGTTCCCTCTCCAAGTCAACGTCATCCGATAAATTTTCCGTGACCCAGTGACCCAGATACTTGAACTTGGTCACTTTTTCCAGTTCAGTTCCGTTTAGAGTGACTGGTGGCGTCGAATAGGTTTTGGAACCTGATTTGAACACCAACAGCTCACTCTTTTTAACATTGTATCTGAGCCCATGGGCCTCGGCATACCTTTCACATACATTGAGAAGTACTTTAAGAGCGCTGATTGAGGGGCTCAACAGCACCATATCGTCTGCATAACTTATGTTATTAACAAAACAACCATCTACTGAACAGCCGACACCAGTGCTACCGAGCTCCTCCATCAGCCCATTTATGTACAAGTTGAATAGGTTCGGAGAAGTCAGCCCCCCCTGTCTTACTCCACATTTCATCTGGTATTCCTCTGAGGACTTCCCAGCCCACCTAACAAAATTTACTTGATTTTCATACCAGTATCTAAACAAATCTGTCAATTCTTTAGGTATACTTGTATTATACATTTTATTCCATAGGACGCTATAGGATACCATGTCAAAAGCCTTAGACAGGTCCAGGAAGCATGCAAAAACAGGCGTCCCCCTATCCGTGTAGTACCTAACAGTGTGCTTAAGACACAGAATAGCTGATTCTGTAGACAGACCAGGTCGGAAGCCGAATTGAGCATCGTGTAGCTTCACATGTTGCCCTAGGTATTTGTTAAGCACACTGTCCAGCACCTTGGCCATAATTGTTGCCAGAGAAATTGGATTGGAAATAATATTTTAGATTGCGGATTGACTTATTTAAGAGAACTTTTGCACAAACTGGGATATTCATTTAAAAAATGTAAATCGAAGAGATCCCTTTTATTAGAGAGACCAAACATTGTTGAATGGCGAGTGAAATATTTGAGGGCCATAAGAAAATTCAGAGAAGACAAACGAAATATATTCTTTTTGGACGAAACTTACGTTAACCAAAGTCATAATGTCCAAAAATGTTGGCAATCTTCGTCGGAGCCTGGTGTTTATGCAGATATAGGCAAAGGAAGGCGTTTAATAATAGTTCACGCTGGTAGTCGGAACGGGTTAGTTGACGATGCTCTGCTAATTTTTAAATCAGATTCAAAAACAGGAGACTATCATGGAGACATGAACTCTACAAATTTTTACAACTGGGTTGATCGAAAGTTAATACCTAAACTTCCACCTAACTCAGTCATAGTTATGGACAATGCAGCTTACCACTGTGTGCAAGTTGAGAAGAAACCGACTATGTCCTGTATGAAAATTAATATGCAGAATATGTTGCAAAATCATAACGTGCCCTTTTCTCCCACGATGGTCAAAGCTGAACTCTTGGGCTTGATTAATACGACCCAATCAGAAAAAATATACACGATTGATGAACTTCTGAAAGGTGCAGGTCATACTGTTCTAAGACTACCTCCATATCATCCAGATCTCAACCCAATCGAGCTTGTGTGGGCAAATATAAAAAATTGCCTGGCCAGAGATCACATTAATGCTACATTGGACGAGAAAATTACAATACTAACAAGACTATTTTCTGAATTTTCTGCCGAACAATGGCAAAAATGCGACGACCACGTACAAAAAAACGAACAAGAATACTGGAATCATGATATGAGATATGATACTGTGATGGACGAATTCATTATAAACTTACAAGATGATTCTGACTCAAGTTCAGACAATTCAGAATCAAGTGATTCAGAGGATATTATGTCAGAGTAATTTCATATCTATAAATACAAAGTCGTGTTAGTTACACTAATTAATTAATAATAATTTCATAAATGATTCAAATATGTCGGAAGAATTTCATTTAATTTGTTTTTGGTTTATTTTACTTTTAATTGCAATGTACGGACAACAGCAAGTCCATCAATACATAAATGTCAAATTTATCCAATCAATTTTATACTCTATTCCCTGGACTTTAAGTTGAAAATCAATTGAGGAAATCTGACAGTTTGTGGCGGCCTGATGTGCTGCCGACTGTACATTGCAATTAATTAGATAGGTATAATATAAACTTGTAAAAGTTCAATTGGCTTTAATTTTTTCTTTTCAATAACTGAACAATTATTGTTCACGATATCTCGAGATTGGTCGTCACTGTCTAATCTCATGTGCGTTGCGAGCAGCAAGCAACCCGCCCCCTCACCCCTGTCCCTACCTAAGGCGCGGCCAGCTAGTTCCGCGCGCACTATAAGTTCCAACATGAATTCGGCCGAATTTTACGCTGTATGGCACGCGGGTCGGTACGCATTGGCAAATTTTTAACATCAACCGGAATCTAATAGCAGTAATGTGAGCATAACTTATGTTTTGGTGTGACGGACGCAGTGACAGTGCCCCTCAGATCTTTGAGATCTAAAGCTGTGAGTGGCACTGCAGCTGCTATGGACAGGCGTGTCGCTTACCACCAGGCGTACGACTTGTTCATCCCATCACTTGGTATCATAAAAAATCTTATTATGGAAGCGTACACATTGCCCCCTAAATGAATTTGGGACTTTGTGAAGATCACCGTAAAGAACAATTTATTTTTATTTCTCATATTAATGTTATCTTTATAAAAATATAAATATTTCTATTCCTCTTAACATAAATTAAATTTTTATAAATATACTGTGATGCTAAAGTAAGCATGTTAATTTTTTTTTAAAAAGAATGCAACGTAGGCGTCGGTATGAGCAGTCCGGGCAACGCAGGCACAGGGTCGCCCGCAGGTGGCACAAATGGGGTGTGGCACTGGACGGAGGCGAATGCAACTGCGGCGGCGGGCATGTTCTGCGTGGCGGCGTGGCGTGGGGAACAAGCTCTGGCGGCCTCACTCGCCGCGCACCTGCACACGCCGCGGCTGCACACCGTCGTCACGAGACACCAAGCCGCGCTGGCACTGCTCGCAGGTAAGGATAATTTTTTTCTACCTATTTTCCCTGGCAATTTTTATTATTTAATACTTCACGATACTACTGAATACAGTATCGATACTTTTGAGTCGATACTGTGTCCCTAACTGCATATTAACTTCGCTGTCCACAACCGCAGCGCGAGCTCACGATGACTATAATCGCAATTGGCTTTCGATATTTCAATTCTCGTCTCGCCTCGCCGATAACGTTAGGGTTTTTTTCCATCGTAATGGAAAAACACCCTTACGTTAGCGCTTTAATTTGTTACCACAGAGTTATCACAGTTTAGAGCACTCTTTTTATGTGAATATACATATGTATAAAATGTATATATATTTTTTTTTATGAAAGTAAATTTCGATGAATTATTATGTCGTGGAACAAAAGTTGTTGTTTTTGAAGTTAGTTAATATAGTCCTGTTGGTATAAACCCTATATTTTTCAAATAACCCTGTATAATAAATAATGTGCCAGACAACGACGTCAATTACTTTGTCTCATACTAGGGAATTTCTTGTACTATAAAGAACCATATCAACGAAATTCACTTCCGGGCATTACCCTGAACACCTAGACCAGAATTAATTTAGAAATGTCAATTTCCCAAATTGGTCCTACTGGGAATCGAAACCGGAACCTGCTTACAGTGCAAACTGCAGGCCATCGAGGTCGTCAAATTTGATTCAGTCATACATAATTCCGAAAGATACTTTCAATAACAAAGCTTGCTCGCCTGTCTTTTAGGTAAATGGGAGGAAGCCGACCAAAGCATACGTCAGCTGGCATCATTCGATAGATGGGAGAGTCAGTTGCTGAAGGCGGAGATGTACTTCCTCAAAGGCGACGCTACTGACGCGCTCGCGGCGCTTCACGATGTCTTGGATTATTGTAAAACCGAGGACGACAGCTTGCATTTTGTATCCTTGAAGCTCAAAGCGATGATACTGATGTCGCAAGTGCAACATTCCTTTGGTGGAATCCAGTCCGCAAATATTATGCTACTCAATGAAACGACTTATTTGGCAAAAACGTACCACTTGCATTATTTAGCTGCCTCAGCTGAAATGCATATAGCGAATGTGCAATTAAATATGGGATGCGCGAAAAATGCCTTATTGGTTGTGAGGAAAGTTCTAGGGTTGGTAATGGCACATGGAAGCGCTTACGATATAGCAAGAGGTAAGTATAATTTTGACAAGCAACTTAGCTTAGACTTCGTACAAACAAGATTATTTGACATGTAATTTGCATTTCAGCCCTATTGTTATATACAAAGTGTCGTGTAGCGACAGCACCTGTAACTGGCGAAGCGCGGACGCAAGTTCTACAATCATGTTGTGATACACTAGACTTGGTCAAAAAGAACTTTTCGAAAATTGGCGCCCAAGCTCGTCTGTTACATGCGTGGTATTTACAGGTAATCAGAACTTATACTTTGTGTTTTCTTTTTTTAACTTATGAAACAATACCAAATTATTATTCGTGTTAAAGAGCTTAAAGATAAAGATTACAGCAGAAACTAATTTGATTTTTTATATTAATTTCAGGCACAGCTCTACAATGAAATTGGCAACATTGCAGCGAGAAACCAATGTGCCTGGATGTACAGGCAATTAGAAACACAGAATCCGGTGGAACCATCAAATATGCTACTAATTATGTATTAAAATAATATGACTAAGACCTCTTTTACTGCTAATGCAAGTCGTGAGACTATGGTAACACCTATAATAAAAAAAAGCAATTCCTCAAAATATCTTTTGAAATTTATGTATATTAACTTATTTTTAAACTACAATCTAATACAGTTTATCATTTAACAAAGCTTTTTGAACAATTTCCGACATAGTAATCTTGATATCTCTGCACAAAACTTCTGCTACCAACACCTTGGTTTCTGGTTGTACATCTGACGGTGTGTAAGCCCCTTCCCCTAAGATGGTAGTGTCATTCCAGCAATGGCCAAGTGAGGCTTGAGACTCGCATATTCTACCCAACTGCAGCAGTAAAGAGGTGATGTCCTCCAGGAGTGACGGAAACGCCGTGCAGATTCGTACCAGTGATTTCAACACTGGTTGGAACAGTTCCAAACGCAAGTCACTCGGGAGTACTGATAATAAAGTGGACAAAGTATTCACACATAATCTGGCTATTGACATTGCTTTTGGCAATGCATATTGAATCGATAAATGAGAAACCAGATCCACAGCAAATATCTGCTTTTCCAAAGATGCTTGACTTAACAGTTCAGGAATAAAATCCAGACAGATGTGCATTGATGGGATACCCTGCACTGTTACTGGCAGTAGTTCCCTAGGGTAGCCTTGAAAATGCACTAGCTTAGCTAATGATGGCTCTGATATAAATATTTGATGCAAAAAAGAGCAAATTATGCTCCTTACTTCTCGTAATGCCCACATTAACTCTGGTTTTGATTGGTCTTCAGCTGTTTCCAAGCAAGCTTCCAGCAAAATTTGAAGTGCTGCACTCTCCTGTGCAGCAACTAATGCATTTTTAAGTTCTTCCCTTTCTGCATCAGATGTCAACTGTCCACTTTTCTCAAGTAAAGGTCTGTCCAACAAATGCCGACTTAATTGGCTTCTTGAAGCGGCCAAACTTGCTTCTAAAATTCTTAAAATGATCTTTAAAATCGGTCCACATCTAAACACCCTTATATCGCATCGTAATACTTGTAATGGATCTACTAGAACATTTTCCTGAGTAATTGTAACGCTCTTCGTACTGCCATTTATATCCAGCAGAGCATTAATTGTCATTATCCAGAGACAGCGTGGTAGTACGGTGTTTAGCCTTAACCATACCTCACGATACAATTCTTGAATATGTCGCGGCACTTGCTCACCAAGCACACTTTTAAAATACCGAACAAATATTTCAGCAAATGGCCAAATATCGGTTGGGTTTTTGTTGAGCATAGCTTTCAGTATTTTGCCAGTTTTGTAAGGATTTACTTCAATGCTATGGAAGGCTTCGTGGATTGACGTTTCTGATAATGAGACATCAACGTGATGACGACACGAATCACCAAATACCTGATCATCCATCCAATCGTCTACAAGTGACAGCTGGGGGAAATGAGTCGCAAGAAGGCGTAACAGAGGACTAAACAGACCTCCGTAACTCATTTGATCTTTTTGTGCTTGATGCAGCAGATACTTAATTGGCAACTCTGATAAAAATGCTGCAGAATAACTTTTAAGTTTTCTGCCATTTGCTATGAGTGTAGCTGCACTAGACAGTCGAACATCTTCATACAATAAAAGATAATAAATCAATAGCAACTGGGAAGCTAATGTTGGTTTCTCCAAATTGATCTCTACTGATGATTCCCCATTGTCTATTTCCATTGGCGTGAATGGTTTCTTTTGTATATCGAAATTTGCGCCAAATATAGAGTTCCTGAAAACTCTTCTAATTTCTTCCTCAGTTATGGGTTTGTTGACATACTCGTTTGTCCCTTTGTTGTTGATAACAAGAATCGAGTTCACGTATACTTCCACTAGAGCAGGCATCACCGGATGAAGAGGAGCCGTGCAATTGCAGATTTGGCGGTAAATCCAATTTTTTATGGGAACTTTATGTTTTGAAAATGCACGTGATTTAAGTAATTGATGAATGCAGTGAACTGGTAAATATCCTATTATATTGTTATTGAGATTTGCTGTGACAGGCACCTTTACAGCATGAGCAGTGACAACCTGGAATTAATATACAGATAAGTAATTAACAAGTGTGGCCTATTGCCAGTCTTACATTGTCTGTATAAATAGAAAACATAATATAAATACCTGTTCCGTAAATATTTCTTGAGTAAATGCTTGTTTAATACGAGCAAGGCCGTTAGGACGAACGGGTACACGCATCCCCAAAGTGGCGCATACAAGTTCGCCAACTGCTGCCAACTGCCCTGAATGAAAGTGGATTGCTATCAAAAGCAACATCTCGCCAAATGACGCAGTAACTCCAGAATTGCTGTTGACAAACATGAGAGTGTTAATAAGTTGTTTACAAAGAAAGTATCATAGTATGGACAAAAAAAACTACCTTTCAAAGTATGCTTCCTCTTTAACCAACCATTGCACCCATTCTATGGCTTTTTTCTCATGCTCTGGAGCAGCTACAAAAGAAATGAATTAATGACCCATAATAAAGGCACAAAGAACACACGTGACGCGCACTATAAGTTTCCGGAATGTATTAGAAAAAACTACTTTATATGGACAGAAATGAATTTATTGTTTCTCAAAATATTCTCCGTTAGCGTTAATGCACTGTTTCATACGAATGAACCAATTTTGAAAACATTTATGCCACTCCTCTGTGACAATCTCTGAAACATATTTTTCATACTCTTCGACAGCCTCTTCAGGTGATGAAAATCGTTGATCGCGTAACTGGTTCTTAATTTTTGGAAATAAATAAGTCACAAGGTGCCAGGTCGGGACAGTACGCGGGATGGCTCATAAGGTCATCGTTGTTCACCTTCAAAAATTCATGTACCAATCACTATTCACGGTACAACGATTCTTCAAACCCACAGTCTCCACGTGTCCAGCTTTATTAAAAAAAGAAGCAATCATCCGCTTAGAGGCACTTTGGACGTGCGCCACTTTGATTGGTTTCGGCTCATTTCGAAAGACCCATACGCTCGATTGCTGCTTTGTTTTGGGATCGTAACTATAAATCCATATTTCGGCACCTGTTACTATGTCCCACAACAAATTTGACGCCCCTTCGTTGAATCTGGTAAGCGTGGCATTGCACCAAGCGACGCGATCCGTTTTTTGAGCCTCAGTCAAATTGTGTGGGATCCACCGAGAGCACAGCTTTTTCACACGCAAATGTTTGTGTAGTATTGATTGTATATAACTCATGCCTATGCCTAAAGATGTCCGAATCTCATGGTATGTCACATGCATGTCTGTTTTGATCATACGGCGCACAGTATCGATGTTTTTGTTGTTCACAACAGTGGACGGGCGACCATCACGAAATTCGTCACTGAGATTCACACGACCGCGTTTGAATTCTGCAAACCAGCCATAAATATGCATCGCATGGTGCTTCATCGCCAAAAGCAGTTTGAATCTGACCAAAACTCCGCTGAGCTGTTGAATTACACTTAAAGTCGTAGAAAATCATACTACGAAAATTTTCACGAGTGATGTAGACAACCAATGTCTAAAATGACGCTACACGACGGGCAGTCAGATGAAACAAACTGTATTCTACAGCCAAAGAGTTCCATCTTCAAATGTTGTAATTACTTTTTAAATATAGTTTAAGTAAGTGGCCAGTTCCACTAAACTTATAGTGCGCTCTATGTAATTGACAACTGTATCACTTACCCATTAGTGATGGACAAGCTAGGATCATGCACAGACTGAGTGACACAAATCTTACTCCAGCTGGTGTGGGTGGAGGCTTTTGTGTAACCAGCCTCAGAAGACCAGCAACTTCGTCATCCTGAAACTTAATTCCAGCAATTCCTCGAAGGGCACAGTACAATCTGAGTAAAGCTGATGCGTCAACTCCTGCAGTTGCATCTTTTAATCGGTTTAACAGCTCTTGTCTAAGTTTGGTTAAAGCTGAATGCCCATCCCCTTTGCCTCTTTTATGCGAATTGCGGAGGAATGTCGCAAACCACGCTCTAGTTGTTTGATCAGAGCCTAAAAGTAATCCAGACATGAATGACACCTGTAACACACAAAACTTTCTTTACACAAAAATACAGTGTTATGACTGTAATTATAATTGTTCATAATTTACATATAGACGAGACAATATTTTGAATATTGTGGTTTGACCTACACTCAACCTATGAACACCTGTTGTTACTTTCAACCATTTTAAGATGGCTTCCCACGATCCAAGATTTCACCAATTGCGCCGTGCCAGTTCGCGCCACCGCGCCACGGAAAAAGTGCAGTCCGCGCCGGAGCAGACTCGCCTGTCGTATCCGCCATGCGTCGGTCATTTCAAAGGCGGCGCGGCGGACGCGATAGCATAGCAGCTCAAACTTTGGGAAGCCATCTTAACTTTTTTCATAAATCAATACAATAAAAACATATAAATAATAAATAAAACTTACAACATTACTTACCAAGTCATCCAAATGATGTGTCAGAGTCAGATTAATAATAAGTGAAGGCAATCTAGCAGCAGATGCAGCTTTGGCTCGAACCATTGCTGCTATGTGAGGGCAGGCAGCACATAGAGTTTGAAGAGTTTTAGCTCGAATACCACCCTCCTCTCCTCTTTCTGAGTTCAAAACTAGTGATTCTGCCACTACAACAAATACCATGAACGATAAGTTAAAAAATACTTTATTCATCAAACACATGATATATGTACTAATAAACTATGAGCTACTCTGGTTTCTACTTCTAATGTGTTGATGAAAAAGACGAAGCCTCAACATAGTGGTGTTTTTAATCTTTTAGTCTCCGTCTGTATTCTCTGTCGGACATTAACAGAAAAACATTTCTACAAAATTATCATTAATGTAACTTAAATCTAAATACACTCCCAGACCTCTGAATGGCACAGAGCCACCTTGCATTTTTATCCTAATAAATTTTATATAAAAATATAGTTGGCATTGAAGAAAATGTTTTTTCCAATATTTTAAACTCAAATTTTCAATAAGGACTTAAGGGTGACGTTTAGTATAGGTACCAGTTTCAAAGTTACATAATAACATTTTTGAGCAGTCAAGCATTGTTTAAGCTAAGCATTTAATATTGAAAATGCAAGGTGGCTCGAATTATGTGTCAGGGAGTATATTTATTTACTGGTTATAGTGGTCATATGTAAAGTATATAGTTACGCCATAAATATACAACAAGCAAAACAAATCTAATCAGGATAACAAAATGTACAAATTGACTGATACCATACAACTATTCCACAACCAGCCTGCAACATGAGGACTTCTGTTGCAAAATTAAAATTAAATTATAGCCATTCCTTGCACTTTTGTTTGAAGGTATAAAAAGACTGCCGTCTTCACCAGGGGTGGAAGGTCATTCCAGCATTTAGAAGCGAAAGCTGCCTCTGAATGCTGTCAAATGTAGGTGAATCTGCATTTCTAACATTGGTTACCTAATTTGTCGAGTTGTAATTTGTGAGCCCATTCAATTTTAAATTTTATGGTGTGGTTGTATTAAATTTGATTTATTTTTTACTTATGGCACAATAAGAGACATCAGATTTAAGTAAATGGACGCAAATTAATTATTATAATACAAAAAAAAAAACGAAAAAGAAGAACAAGTATTGTATATATTTTTAATTAAGTACTTGAATAGTGCAGCGACATGTACAGTCATGAAAAGGTTGCGCATGGAATGAGAATTTGGATGTGCTATGCTAGGTAATTTATACACGAAGTTCAAAAATTCGAAGGCAAATCATTAATCAAGAAATCAAATGCTGCTGGATAGGACTTATTGCAAGGTATGATGGGTAGCAGACGGGTTAGGGGCAGGCCAGACTGTGGATGATGACATAAACCCCCATTATTGAGATCAACATCCTAGTAATGGATGCTATGTCAGGACTATATGTGGAGGTTTGGAAGAAACTGTGCTGTGCCTTTATTAGGTTTGCGGAAAGCCGATTAATGGTCATCTTCTTAAAAATACTTACCTTCTTGTAACGTATCTGGCATATTAGCAGTAACCCAAGATATAATGACAGGGCCCTTGTTAACGTGTAGCAATACCTCTACAACATCGCAAATATTGAGAAGATTGGGCAGTTCTGCTAAGCTAATGCAGATTACATCTGTGATTTCTTCCAAGTACACATCATTGTCAAACAGCTCTGAAGGTTTTACTGAGCATTCAGTGTTTGAGTTTTTGTTTTGATTGTATTCTGTAATCTGAGCCTGCATCTGCAATATTTCCGAGAGCACAAGGCGCACGCGCCGCGCTGAATCTGACTGCTCAAAATCACTTGATATTCCATTCACTATACTTGGTATTAAGAAAGATTCTGTACATTGAGAACCGTTTTTCTGTCTGAAATTTTTAGAAATACCAATAGAATTACGAATTAGGTTCAATAACTTCACAATGTGATACATAAATTATAATCGTGTCTTACCGCATTTGTTGTTCTTTCTTGACATCAACCTCCAAGGCGTGGAACTCGATTGATAAAAGAGAAACAATGAAATTCACCAAATCTATTCCAGAGAGGAGAGTTAGTATATCTTTTTTAGCTTCGGCGCAGTATTTTGTGACATCAAGTGGTGATATGAGAGCCATTCTGACAAGACATGGTATGATGGGTCGTATTTCGTCCGCTGAACATTTCATGAGAACGTCGATATCTAAATCTTTAATCGCCTTGAATACATGAGGCTGGACGGGCATCATAAATGAATCCATGACTAAAACTGTTTTACAACCTATGCAAACAACAACAACGTAACCTATTATAAATGTTATACTTGGATTTAGTTTAATAATTAATTGAAGGTAGATATTATTTAATTATACTCTAAGCGGCACATGGTAATATAATTTTGGTTTAGATTACTGCTATTTTCTTTGTAAAATTAATTAAATTTTTTCCAGCAAGTAGGTAGGTAACGAGTTTTAGCGTTTGACTTTGACAACCACAGAACACTATATAGACAACAAACATAAACGAATGAGTAAAATTATTGACAACGAATGAATGAATGAACTACTAAGAGATTGAATGACATTATTGCTAGAGTTTCCATCCTGATAGTTGGACATCATTATCATAATATTTTCTTTTTAAAGCTAAAGCACACCCAGGACACTCCATACAATCGGATCGTCGGGGCCTACCTGTCTGACCGTCGTATCCCAGAACTGTACTCAATGCTCAAGTCAGTACTTGAGTATGATTTCAAGCACTGGACATACGACCCTAATAACAAGGACTTGAGTATAATTTTTCTAGAGCTTTAAATCATATTTGAGTGTGAGTTTTTTTTAATAAAATATAAGTGCATATTTGTCCTCCATCTCACCTGATGGAAAATGACGATGAGCTCGACGATGGAGCATGCACACCTAAATAATACTTATTTACTCTCGCCTTGAAAAGGCCCAAGTTATAACGTTCAGGGAACAAGTCTGCAGGCAGGGAATTCCACTACATAGCCCTTCGCCATATAAACGTGGAAGCGTAATGCTTCGTGCGAATCTTTGGAATATCCACAACATGGGGGTGGAACCCAAGCCTACGCCTAGTCCCCCGGTGATGGAAAGGGGAATGCGGAATTAAATTGTGTAATTCCATCGCACACTCTCCGTGATATATCCTGTAAAATACCGACAAGCAGGCAACTTTACGGCGGTGTTCAAGGCTTTGCAGCTTCGCCTCCACTAATTCCGAGTCACCAATAAGCCTCTTGACACGATTGTCAATTGAATCCAAAGTGGCCAGTTGATATGTGACCCAAAGGTGGCAGCAGTACTCCAAGCACGACCGGACTTATGCTTGGTACAGCTGAAGCAACTGTCCCGGTGTAAAGTAACGCCTCACCCTGGAAAGGATGCCAAGCATTCTTTGCTGTATTCTTGGTCATGGATTCAACGTATCTGCCGAACTTCAAATTGGACGACAGGTCCATTCCAAGTAGCTGGAGGCTGCCGGCTATCGGTATGGATATATCACGAAAAGTCGGAGTCAGCTCGAAGGGACTCCGTTTTGTGGAGAATAGACACGCCTGAGTTTTGGTAGCGTAAAATTTTGTCAAGATTGGCATCGCCCCAATCGGAGACTGCCTGGAGTGTCAAATTCAAACGGCTAACCATGGACTCTCGACAAGACTAAATTTCCTCTCCACTGACCCTTGCATTGATCAAGTACCTATCTAGAACTGTGCTGTCATCAGCATACGTAAAGGTACCTGGAATTAACATATCATTGATATGCAGCAGAAAGAGAGTTGTAGTCAGTACCGAACCCTGAGGAACTCCTGTTCGGCAGTGTAGCCTTCTTTTTTTTTTAATAAATTTATTTATCTTGTCAATTACATTTTTTTTACAAATAAGATAATGTTCTCCCAAACTTCATAAAAGTTTATCGGGAGAGTTTGGTTGCTACGCTTACATTACAATCACATAACATTTCATTCTGTTACTCAATTACAGCTTTCTAAATTACTACAATGTATCTAACAAGTATGTATTTCTTTAATTCATTTTTTATGTAACTTTTATTACCTTGCAAACATTTTAAGTGTGAAGGAAGATCATTAAATAGTGTTGGAATTAAATAGTCCTTCGTCCTTTGCCATACACATTGTTTGTTTTAAAAATCTCGTACCTGCCTACCGCTGCTTGCCTTGTTGGATATCTAAGATCTAAGAGATCTAAGACCACTCGAATCGAACGTTCAAGAAATCCGAGATCCAATTGCAAAGGTCGGTGGTAAGCCGATAAGAGGGAAGGTTACTTAAAAGGCTTGCGTGCCAGATCTTGTCAAACGTTTTAGAAATATCCAAAAACACTGCAAGTGCTTCACCTTGCTTTTCTATAGCCTCGCTCCATATGTGACAGGCATACACAAGAAGATCCCCAGTAGATCGCCCTCGTCGGAATCCGTACTGGCGATCACTGAGGAGGTCGTTGTCTTCAAGGTACGACAGGAGATGGTTGTTGAGTACGCGTTCCATAGTCTTACAGAGGATGGAAGTGACTGAGATAGGTCTATAGGTGAACGGGTCAGCTCTGCTTCCCTTTTTCGGCACAGGTTGCACGTTTGCAAGCTTCCAAGACCTGGGAACTACACCAGTCTCAAGTGAGAGGCGGTACAGGAAGAGCTCTGGAATACGGCCCTGAGAGGTACATTTCATAACCAGGGCGGGAGAGACGGTTGTTGCGGACGGTAATGTTGTGCGAGGTCCTACAGGGGTCGGTGCTAGGACCGCTCCTGTGGAATATCGGATACGACTGGGTGTTACTGGGAAAACTCCCTCCGGACGCCAACGTAATCTGCTACGCAGATGACACGGTGGTGATAGTGCAAGGTGAGACCTTCGAGGATGCTGCCCGTCTTGCCACGGAGAGTCGGTAGAATAGAGAAGTTGGGACTCCGGGTGGCGCTTAACAAGTTTGAGACCATGTGTTTGTGCAGGAACGGAACACCGTGTGGTTTTAGTCGTTACGAGTCCGACATGAGGATTTCCCCACGGAAAAAAGGGTCCCTAATATGGACGACTTACATATAATTTAATAGAGCGGCGTCCTAAGGGCCACGCCCACTCTTGATGCAGGGCGTTTGAAATCGGGTAGTGTAATAAGCGTTTTAGTACTTTTAATGAACAACAAAACAACATAATTATGCCCAATTATACTACGAAATTCTATTACCAATGGGTGTGGTTTGTTGTTTAGGTAGGTAGATAGGGTATTACCTAGATTAAAATGACGAAGACGTTGACGTTACTGTAACGGTAACCGTAAAGTTGCCTGCTTATCGGTTTTCTACAGAATATATCATAGAGAGTGCGACGCAATTACACGATTGAATTCCGCTTTCTTCTTTCCATCATCCGAGGACTAAACATGGGCTGGGGTTTCACCCTCATGTTGTGGATATTCCAAGGATTAGCACAAAGGGTTTCGCTTCCAAATTTATATAGGGACCCACTACGGAATGGAATTTCTTGCCTGCAAACTTATTCCCTAAACTTGAGCCTTTTCAAGGCGAAAATGGATAGGCATTATTTAGGTGAGCATGCTCCATTGTCGAACTCATCGTCACTATCTATCAGGTGAGATGGACTCAAATGCGTACTTATTTTTTTATATAAAATACTTCTAAAATACAATTCGTTAATGAATTATTCCAAATGATACGACATACGTTTTTCTTTATTTTATTATATTCAGCTAACTAATTCGTTTGTTTAATACCTATCGTGGAAATTCACATTGGTTTATATAAATAAATACTTTAGTTTTCCGTAAATGTTTCCATAGAACATTGGGACTCGTTTGAAAATCTTACTTTACTACGTTACTTACGTTACTAGGGTAAATGCAATGGAATTTGTTTGTTTAAATTTGTACCTATCCTACGTCGTTTACAAAGTATTTATAGTTTATATATGCTAAAGATGTGATTAAGTACTACATCCTAACCGTTAACACCAGTGATTTATCTAGCGATGAAACAGGTATAGAGTATTTGACCAAAAAGTGCTTTACTCATCTCGAAATATGCAAACTTGCTCAATATGAATGTAGAATTGCATATCCAATATAACGGCACAGATATGGATGATTAAAGACAATGGCGGCAGGATGCTCTGGTACCTTTTATCATAAATATGTAGTTTGTATGGCGCCATTCACGTGTGATGTCACAAATAGCTATTATGGTTTCAAAATCATGATTTTGAAATGCCTATGACAAATTTAATTTTCAACAAATTTTAATTCTGTTTCATTTAACTATCAATCTTAAGAAAATAATTCATTTTCCAATTCGAGTCCAATAGTCTATTTTAAAGTTTTTTTTTAATTTGATTATATCCCTTTTAGGGATAGGATTACGATATTAAAATCATGAAGCCTAAGTATGAAGATTGGTATGGCGGTTGTGATGGAGGGTCGCGTCGTTCAAGTAGAGGCGCAGGGTCCTGCGTCGGGCGACGGCGGCGGCGGGCGGACGGAACCGCGGCTGGGGCGGGCGGCTGCCGGCGCGGCAGTCGCACGCGGGCACGTGCGCGCACCGCCTTCGTGCCGCGCCGCCAACCTTACCGCCGCGCCGCCCGCGCCCTTGCACCTACTCGCTCGATATTCCGGAACGCACAAATACCCACGGCCTTTTCATCATCACATCACCGAAAACTGTCTGGTATCCCACGAATATACTTCAAAGCCGCTTCAATTGAGGTTTAATCGCTTACGGGTCAATAGTTCAATCTTTTCGGATATTGCTTACATCATCAGTGTAATATTTCGGCGGGAAATGTTGTCACATTAACAGCTTGGGTAATGAGGGTGAACATGAATGACTATCATTCGAAAATGTATGAAATTAGAGATAGAGGCACAGTTACAATTCACTGCATGTAGAATTTGTCCTATACATCTACATCTGGATGTATTATGTTATTATGTGCAGTGTCTGGTACTTCTTAACCTAGATACCTATATGAATAGAAAATTCATGTAATTTGATGGTTGCGGTTTACATGTAGGTTTTCTGGAGCGCTTGATATACGAAACCAAAAGTGAATCTCAGTTACCTACTTAGGTAATTTAAGTGAGTATACGTATTAAGTGAACATAGTGTTGATGGCCACTAGTTGAATTTTTGCCATGAGGCTTTTCACTGAAAATTTCCAAATAAAATATTTTTCTTACGTGTTAAGTTAAAAAGTGTACTGACTGAAATTATTATCATATAAAAATAATATTTTTTCCCCCTGAAATTAACGCAACTATTTTAACCAAATAGTGTTAAAATGTTCATGTAATAATTATGAATATATCAACCACTATAAAATATATTTTTAATATATTGTTATAGTTAAACGCGACATCACTTTGATGCGTTAACTATAATATATTTCTTCATTCGTAGCTATTTATTGCAACACTTTTAGTTTGTTCCAAAAATATATTTGTGACGCATGTATTTAGTAGTAAGTAATTACTTACTAAAATAAGTTTGTGTAATATACATATTACAGAAACTTATTACGATATAAAGTTGGGTAAATAAATATCTTGAAACTCAGCTCCACGCTCTCCTCAAGTTCCTCAATTATGTCATTTCTACCATTATTAAAATGGGACTAACGGCTATGCCGTGAATCTCATTCTCTATATTAAAATATTCTTAAATTAAGTGTTTGAAACCTCTTCACGTTCGCGTAATTTATGACGAGTGGTTTACCATTTCGCGCCGCCTATGTTTGTAATTTGATAATATTGTCGCTGTCTCTATCAGCCGTGAAGCGGGAGTGGGTGAGTGGACGAGATAGTACACATTTGAAAGCATTTCATTAATGAAATTTAAACGGACTCTGACGAATCATGGCTTAAGATTTTAGTTTATGGAGTGTATACAAAATTTCATTCAGTTTGATTTGTCGGTATACAAAATTTGATCAAAGTACGTTTGTATGGATAGCGATCGCTAAACCATCGTCCTCTTAAGTATGTGTCATTGAATATTTAATATTATCGCTTGGAATGGCTAGTTTTATTGCGCATTGCAAACCTCCTTTCATGAACTAATAGTCCCATTTTCTTAAATTCTGTATCTAATCATTACTATTAATTTACATAATAGTGTTTTAAATACTTAACATTGCCATGCGTTGATTTTATTGGATAATACTCATCTATATATCAGATGCAAATAACGAGTATTTTATACAAAACTTTGCCCATTTGTACGTAAATATTGACGTACATTTATGTAATGTGTATACGTAGGTACCAACTAATACACATGTATTGTAAGTGGTCATTTGTCACACTGTTTTGCATTTTAGGCAGGCACTACAGGTAATTTTAACTTTTTAAACATTTTGTTGTAAAATCATCTAAAGCAAGTAACAATTGAAACAAATAACTTGTCGTTGTTATGTCAGTACAGTTTCACGGTCATGTTTCTTATACGTGTGCCGTCGTAACCATTGTCAATATTGAAATTAGAAGCGTATATGACGACGATGGAGCCACGAGTCTAGTGGACGGCTTAGTTAATGAACAGGCATCGGACAATGTTTCAGCGTGTAATTTATTCATTATACAGCCGTTCTCAATCAGCTCGTCCGCTGCTAACGGAAAGTCTCCGTCAGACGATCCCTGACGCGGTCACGTTAGTAAACTTTAATCGTTGCTCGATTATTACACATGCTTGCATTGCATCGCAACGTCCAGTTATTTACAATATCTACTAAATATTCATGTATAGAGTAAACGATTAATATAATTATAACTAACTAACCCTTCGGTCAAAACACGGACATTTCATATTCCTAGTGCTGCTGCTCTATCAATCGATAAACCTCAATAGGAAACGGTCCAAAATGGGAATTTTTAAAAGATCTACAAAATTGACCTACAAATCTTGAAAAAAGTGAATAGTTTAAATATCTAAATGTGCTAAAGATCTACTTACTAAAGACAATATCACTGTTATGTTGTTTTAAATATAGGTCGGACGTTTAAACACCGAATAATATGATGAATCATTAAGGGCAATGGAGAAAGCGGCTGGAGACACACCTTGGTTGAGATGTATACTACGATGGGGATTCATAGATTCAGAAGAAGAGAGACTGTATGCATCTTACACTCAAAGGCAAAAAGAGCGAGCCGTACCACGGATGCTGGCGATCGGTATATTGCTTCAATTGTTCGCAGTACTCGTTCCAGGAGAACGAGATCTATCATTCGCCTACGGTTCTGTGATCATTGGCATTGCATGCAACACACTCCTGGCTGGATTGTACGCTTTATACCGTCCCGTGCGAACACTCCTCGCCCATGTCACAGTGGTGGTGCTTTGGGCGCAGCTGCTCGTCGGCGCTTCGCGGCGTATAGGGGACTCCTACAATGAGTTGCTCGGCTGGGCCGCAATAGTGCAATACTTCACAGCAGCAGCTCTACCATTTCATCCTATGATACAGATATTTTATAATCTGGTGTCCTTTATTGCTTACATCTTTGTGCAGTACTACAATGCTTTGACCTGTGAAACCTACGTTACTCTGGACTTCACTTACCAGGTACTTACAAATTCCACCAGCATTGTATAACTACATTCACAAACGTCTGACTAAAGTCTTGTGATTGGAAAATAATTATTTTGTTTTTTTTTTCAATTTGACAGCAATTGGCAAATAGCGTACTGTTGCTGAGTACTGCAATGATGGGTGCCACTGCGTTCGTAGCGGGAGAGCGACAGCAACGCTTCTCTTTTCAGGAAACTAAAAGAAGTTTACGTGATAAACTTACTATAGAACAACAGAGCAAAGAACAGGTACATCAAAGCGTAATGTTTTTCTTTTTTAAATAATGAAGCTAAAATAACGAAAAAAATTGTTTTAGGAGCGGTTACTACTCTCAGTTTTACCGGAACATGTTGCAGTTCAAATGCGTCAAGAATTAGGCCTAATCGACACGCAGTTTAAAAAAATCTATATGTCTCGTCATGAAAACGTAAGGTAAGGCGACCAAATAACTCGCACTTACCTAGACATGTATATTCTTGACAATATTACTGACGGCTTTTTGTCTTATTTAGCATCCTGTATGCAGATATCGTCGGCTTCACGGCTATTTCATCTACATATTCAGCTCAGGACCTTGTGGCAATTCTAAACGAATTATTCGCTCGCTTTGACAGACTTTCGGAGGTAAACAACAGTACAAGTCATTGTTTTTTTTCATATGAGTGAGTATTTTATGATTTTGGACATTTTTGTTTAGAAATATCAACAACTGCGGATAAAAATCCTCGGCGATTGTTACTACTGCATCAGTGGCGCGCCTGTAGAGCGGCCGGATCATGCCGTCCTTTGTGTACATATGGGTTTATCCATGGTTAAAGCAATAAAGTAAGTTTGAACTGCTTTTCATTCTCGAATTCTGACCTTTACACCAACCTCTCGAAATACACTTCAGAACCTTTTTGGTACACCTGTGTGTAGATACAACTACTTAATTCTAACATGTTTACCATGTTGACGATCTATGGACCCGTGCGGGATTCAATTACAGTTTATCCGTGTGTTTCCATACTAAGAGAATACTTAATTCCAAGAGGTAGAAGCTTGATCCTGGCAATTTAATCGCCTAGGGTTCAATTTAGATAATGTATAAGGAGACAACGTATATGATAAACTAAAAAGACGGGCCTTTTTTGCTGTTCAAAGTAAATTATATACAAGCTACTTTAGTTGTTATGCGTAGATAATTTTAACGCGTAGGTAGACGTGTGTCGGTACAATATACGTAGGTATGTTATTAATTTAAAAAAGGTTGACATTTTCTATAAATAAAACAAGAATCTTTTAAAGCATATAATTTTATTTAACAAGTATTTCATTACAATAGATACGTGCAGCAGACAACAAATTCGCCGGTGGATATGCGCGTGGGCATCCACACAGGTGCTGTGCTGGCCGGCGTGCTGGGCCAGAGGCAGTGGCAATTCGATGTTTACTCCAGAGACGTCGAGCTAGCCAATAAGATGGAGAGTAGCGGTATGGCCGGGTAGGTATTCTAAACTTACTTATCTAAAGACTTCAATGTTATTTTTTAATAACTTATTTTGCGCCCATAATGGAACATTGCTATCTTCCACGTATTTGAGGGTGGGTATTTCTTGATTTTGATTGTCCCTTAACAATTGATATAACTATATTGCTTTTATTTCATGTATTTACACACCAATCTTTCGCCAACAAATAATTATGACATCGTTTTTTCAATATTTCTTACATTAAGTAGTAATAGCACATCCCGGACACTCCATACAACGGTTGAAAGTTACTACTACTACTACTTCTACATACAGCAAGGCGCTATCTGCACACGCGCAAATATGTGCGTGAAGTGGCAGGGTTACCCATCACTTTCTCGTACGTGGTCAGAGCGGCAACATGGCGAAAATTCTAACGCGAATCTCTTAGCTATAATTTTATTAATAGAATCCTAATAATTACATATGTTCATTAGGTATGTACATCAATGTAATATTATATTTTTCATAAATTCTCTAACTAGAATAGTCCTGAAGGTTTATTAACAATAAATTAAATTTAAAAGCACCTTAAATGTTATATTTTGGACAGGTACTTTTATAAAAGGTAACCAAGGCATTTGAAATTGCGTGTCCAAGTTTATCATTACTTAGTTAATAATTATATTCACTACATATATACATCGGCAACACAAATTGAAAATTCGGGAACCCTTGTCAACTATACTACATCTCATTATATTGATATAATAAATCTGTATCATATATTACTCTGCTCTAAATAAATGAAGAAAACAATCACTGAATGAGTCTCATACATAAGTTTTTCTATCGAGTTCTTAGGTTTTGGCGATTGTTACACATAGGAAATTAAACTATTTTTCCGGATTTAAATCGCGTATATTTGTTTTTTCAAACAAACCGACGTTTCGGGCCCGGTTGCCACGGTGGCCACGGTTGACTGTCAACCGTGACCATGGGACTTGTAAAGAGCGTCTTGATTTGGATTCAAATCGGAATCTATCCAATCTGCTAGTCTCGAAATCAGATGGGTTTCTGAGAGAGAAGTCGAACCTGATTCCTACTATATCTTTCTAATTTGCAAGTTAAAACAACTATTGTTCCAATTAGAAATAGTAAAAGTTTCCGATCGGCCAGTTGTGAATCGCAATTATGCGCCTCGACTCGGAAAAGACGCAGTTTCCGATCGGGAGAAGCAATCAAAATCAAGCTGCTGTAGAGGCCTCGAAGTGTTGGTTTGTTTGAAAAAATAAATATACGCAATTTAGATCCGAATAAAATTTTTTATTTCTACGTGTTTGTATAAATTAAAGTTTTAGGATTGTTAATAAGAGTAGCGAAGCAAAAATGAATGAAACGCGAAAGAACTATGAACAAGATAAAATATTATCTCAGCTTTTTACGAATAGATACGTATAAATACTGTAGAGCAAGCGTCGTGCTAATATTAACGTTAATTATATTAATGTCCCGTGGTCTTCAGAGCAGTTTATCTTATTTAATATTAAAAGGCATAAATAGGACGGAAATGAATCGCAAGTAGACACACAATCAATCTGAGTTACCAAATTGCAAACAAAGTAACTATACTCACAGGTATTATGATTATGAGCACATAAATATTAATAAGAAGAGATACAAACCAATTTCGATCAATTACAATATAAGCTTTTGCTTAAATTGTTTTCATGTCAAAGAAAGTTCTTTATAAAATTACAACTTATATTGAATTACTTGGTCCTCGCTCTCTAGGACGAAAGTGGTTTGTTGAGTCGATTTTTATCAGGTTCTTCAGATTTCCTCGATTGTTACACGTTGGAAATAAAACTATTTTTACGGATTTAAATTCCTGGTTTGTTTGAAAGTCGTAGTAGCCACAGATTGATCTATCGTCTCTTAAGTAAAGGCTGTGGGTTCGAACCCGGGTTCGCACCTCTGAGTTTAGTTTATATAATTTGAAATTTACTATGAACCTCGGTGAAGGAAAACATCGCAATACACGTCAAAGATCCCCAACTGATATTGGACCAGGGTGGTGGACTATGGCCTAAGCCCTCGCCTGAGAGAAGACTCCTGTCCAACAGCGGGACGTATAAATGGGTTGAGTGTGATAATGACGATGATGATTTAGAAAACAATATAAGCGATTTAGATCTGAAAACACAGCTTGGATTCCAAAGCTAATTTTTGTTTTGCTATTTTTTCAAAACAAATACGTTCACATTCGAATTGTTAACTTCTTAACTTATCTACTAGTTTCAGAATTTTAGGTTTATTATTGAAGTTATTTCGCGACTCCAATTACTTCACGTAAGTAGTTACATACTTCCATACCCACTCACGACGACAACTTCTTTGAACTTGTTTTCGACACGCCATTCTGTGGTCGTATTTTTTTAACAATGCCCTTGACATCGTTGGCTAAACTATTGTTTGTGTTCACCCTTTCTTCAAGCGTCAAGTGAAAGACACCGATGGTGCTTACATAAATTCCTCGGGTAAATATTGACGAAGGGTTTCCCATCCAATTGTTAAATAAACAGCGGCTGATTTAAAAGTCACGTTCAGTGTTTATAAAGACTTAAAATGTGTTCTATATAATCTCAGTACAGAGTGCTAAAAAAACCGATGTCAAAACTTCGTGGAATTACATCCATTTGCCAAGTTTTATTGAAATCGGTTACCGGAAAGTGCACAAAACCACATTTATCCCCTAGTTTGCCACCCTCAGAGGGGGAATATTTTCTTCAAATTTAAATAGGACCACTACTGAGGTGCCCTCTTTGCAACAAAAAAAGAATCATCAAAATCGGTTCACAAATTTTGAGTTATCGCGTACCATATATACAAAAAAACATACAGTCGAATTGACAACCTCCTCCTTTTTTTTGAAGTCGGTTAAAAGCAAGTGAAATATTATAGCCTTTTTTATAAAAAAAACGATTTCAAAAATTTGAGGAATTCATCTATTTGCCAAGTTACATTGAAATCGGTTAACGGAAAGTGGGTGAAATGCAATATATTCTAACTTCGGATTGTAACTTGCCTCTCTTAGCGGTGGAATATTTTCTTCAAATTTGAGATACCCCGCCGGTACTTTTACCTCTTTTCCAACAAAAAAGATTCATAGAAATCGGTTCACAAATGTCGGAGTAATCGCGTAACATACACACAATAAATAAGCACAGTTGAATTGAAACCTCCGCCTTTTTTGAGGTCGATCAAAAGTAACATTTTATCTTGTTATCATTTTCTCTGTCAATAAAAAATGCAATAAAGTAACTTCCTTACTTAACTAAACGAAACGAACTTCCTTCTAACATTTACATCGAAAGTGAAGGCCCTTCATCGGAATTAAACATTTCTGTGCAGAAAATGACAGTTTAAATTATAATGCGACCGGTGTTTTACTTCCTAGCCGCGTTCACATATCGGAAGTGACACTGAGTTTCCTGAACGACGAGTTCGAGGTGGAACCAGCCCACGGTGAGCGAAGAGAGGAGATGTTACGACAAGCTGGCATCAAGACTTACTTTATCGTCCGGGTGCTTAAACCAGTACGTAACAATTATCTTACAACAACATAAAACCACATTGAGCAACATCTAGAAATTAATTATGCAGGAGTTACGGCTTTACTAGAGTGGGTATAAATTCTCATGCGTGTCGCGAAAAGTATGTACTTAATGGTTTTGTCAATTGTTATTACAATGCGAGATGATGTGTTACATTACTTGTGTGTAACTGAATAAGTCTATGACTTACAAAAATTCAGGATAATGATTTGTTTGAATATGTAATATAACATATCCCACTGCTATTACAATAGTGTTGTAACTCAAAACATTCAGTTCAATATTATATCATTACTGAACATAAAATTTGATTCTCTACACGTCAATAAAACCGTCGTTAGAATATTGTAAGAAATAATTTAAAGATATATCATGAGTCACACTTTATGTGATCTAGTTCTGGCCAAAATAGCCTTTATTCAAAAATGTGAAATATTTTTTTCCATTTTATTCTTAAATGTATTAGGCAAGTAGAAAATTGTTTAAGTGTCTGTAATAAATTATAACCTATACATAAATTTTTATGATCTTTCACGGAAGTCAGTAATTCATTTTCCATGGTTTCTGAGAAAATACACTTTTTGAGTTAATATACCATTGTATTAACAGTGCGAATAATACCTACGTAATAAATTGCTGTTTATTAACTAAAATCGCTTTTAAGATTAAGATTTTAAGATTTTAAAAAAGAGCTTTTACTTCAAAAACGATTTAGTTCTTTCATTTAGTTCGTTCATTCTTATTAAAATGAAAAGGGGAACTTATTCTGTTGGCAACTAATTTCAGTTTTAATATCGATGTATTAGGTTATTAATTTTATTAATAGGTCAAGGCTGTTAACGACCAAGACATGGTTTGAGACTAATAAATAATCAATAGGTTTAAATAATAAACTAATCAATAGGTTTATTTATGTTTATTGATTGTAGACAGAAATACCACGTAACAAATTTAAAAGTTAGCATTGTAGACTAAGAATGTTTAGTGTTTCACGTTTTCTTCATGGAACAACGATTTTCTCATATAAATATAAATCCTGATATAGTTATAGAGTAAGTATATTATTTAATTAAAAAGTGAATTTTAAATCTAACTTTATCTACTTCAGGACAAATATTAAATAAATAAAAATTATTAAAAATATATATAATAATTTTTATTTACTATATAATTATTAAAAACATTATATAGTAAATAAAAATTATTCTACAACTTTAGTCTGGCTGGTATATCGTAACGCCTGAAACAGTCGTTTAATTAATGACACTGTGTTATTTACTAAAGGTCGTGAGTAAATAAATTATGATCTCAAATGATATATACATTTTTGTGGAACATCACAACGAACAAGGTCACTATTATAAAGCACACTATTTGAAACTGTTGAAATTGTGTATTTTTGAATTTTTTTAAGTACCAGGGAGGAGAAGAGAAAAGCGCGCAGGAGGGCGAGGCGGAGGGAGGCGACGCGGCGGACACCCTCTCTGACCTCAAAGACGACGACGATGATTCGGTGAGTGCCGTGAGCGAACTACTCACCGAAGTAAGTACTGTCGACTACCGTCTAGGAATGTTCGGGTTACAACAACTTTACATCGATTTTGACTGACATTGATGTGTGAACAATCAATCATTTACATTTAAACCTTGCTCACCGTCATCGATATTTTAATAGGTAGTCCATGATTATAATGAAACAATATTCGAAAAAACAAAACTATTTAGTAAAGTTGTAAATCCGGTTATATAGTAGTACGGCCCTCGGCGTCGAGATAAATTTTGATTTTATACTTTATCTCAAAGTGACTTAAAACAAATCCTAATGAAACGATGTTTCGTTACTCGTTATACTATATGTATATAGTGTTCCTCAATATCGATTTTTCGACAACATCGTACATCCCTCAACCCTCCCCCTGCTCGAGGTACCCCCTTGCTCGATCTCCAAACAAATGGGACACTGGGGCACTAGCCTCGCGGCCCATTTATGTTAGTGCCACTACTGCTACTAATAAGAATACTTGTTGAATGAGTGAGTTCTCTTTTGATTTATGGTTGTCCTAGGACTTAGTCAATTGTGACGTCAGTAATGTACGTTAATTAGAATTTTGTTGCTTTAATGTATTAAGATAATGCCTTTGTGTTATTTGCTATTTTTTTGAACAATGTTTTCTTTCACCGAAAAGGTCATGGTAAATTCCAAATTATAATTTAGTACATACACTAAGTTGCAAACCCGGATTCGAATCCACGACACTCTGCCTGAGAGGCGGTAGGTCTGGCTACCACATCTGTCGGCTGTAGACCAAGCATTCGTGTATTTTACATTAAAAAAAATTAAGCCTCTCTAAAAGTCAGACATGCGTTTTCATACTTTTTTCTTTGTTAAAGATTTGAAATATTTTTCATATTACTTCCCACGGCTACGTTTTTTTTGTCCATAGGTTATGTCTCCTCAAGATGAACACAAGGTTAATGAAGAGTCGAAAATACACCACATGTTGGAAGAGGAACTCGTCAATAGAGACGACGACAAGTAACTATCTATTATAGCAATCAAATTTTACATTATCGATTTAATGTGGTTTATAGATTATGAATAACTCCGTTAACTTTATTTCGTCATTTAATTTTATTGAATCAATGTCACGTAAAAAAATAATGCATGAAAATATTCAGAACATTTTACGTAAAACGTAAAACTTATTTTAAACGTTTGCATAGTTATCTAAACCGAGATGTTTCTTACAGCTAATGCAACTGTTTTAGAAAACATTTCACACCAGTCCCTGCTGACAACATTGTAGCAAATTAGTTTCACTTATTGTGTTTCTCTCGGCTGTGACAGATTTAATTGTGTTTAGGGAGCTGGCGGATGCTACTACGATGTGTTTGACCTTCAAGTCTCCAGAAGTAGAGCATGCGTATGCAAGGCGCGACGACCAGACTCTACTGACGGTGTCTGCACCACCCTTTCTGCTCCTGCCCGCAGTGGTATCTCTAACCTGCTTCGCGGTACCACTAGAGTGGTCGCTCCACGCCGTCTTCCTAACCCTCATCCTCGAGACCGGCCTAATCAATGTTATCTACTACGCGTGTTTCAAATACGCCCAATATAAGGTACGAATTTTTTATTACAATTACTAAACTTGTACATTGTAATTAGTCGTAGGTGAGGCAAACTTTCACTTCAATTCATGCATATTTGATCAATTAATTCACAGCAGGTTACGAATGATACCAATTGTAATGCTAGGGTTATTTACTAAATTCTCAATTTAAAGTTTTCATAGATGTTTGCGTTATGATGATGCTTTGTTGCAGAAGAAGCCAGTCAATCCTTATTGGAAGTTGACATGTGGTGTATTTAGCATCGTTATGTTTGTCGCAGCCAACATCGCGCATTTGGTAAGTGTACTAACTTTAACTACGTAAGTAAGTAGAGTTTGCTATAAACCTATAATATATGTAATTACTTGCGTATTTAGACTGTTACTAAGTTTTACTACATTCTACAGATTATCTGCGGTAATTTCGAGACGTTGTTGCATGATGACGGATTGCGGGAGGACGCGTCGGCACACGGAGCCGCGCTCCGCTGCCGCCATCCTTCCTACTATTATCACGTAAATATCTAACACTTTCACATTCTATTGTTGGTGCGAATAATGGAGATTGATATTTGTGCAAATTAGCAAAAACGCGCCAAAACGTCTGGTTAAAATATGACAGACATCATTATGCAACATTACACGAAAATAATTGACATATGTTATATTATGACGGTGGTTTCAGGTGGGTGCGAGCGCTTTGTGCGCTGCGTTATCGTTGTCACCGCTGAGCGGATGCGCACGTGCTCTGCTTCTGCTGGCAATAGCCGGTGCGCATGCGGTCCCCGCCGCGCTGTACCCTGCGTTGCTCACGCCCCGCCCTAGCCTCGATCGCGACCCCTACCGGCACCCCTTTAACGCTACTACTGACTATGACGAGGAGATCTTCTATATACTGTGAGTGGAGTTCAAAACTACCGGAAATTTTCAGATTTGAGAACAATCATCATCATCATCATCAAGCCATTTATACGTCCCACTGCTAGGCACGGGTCTCCTCTTAGGTCAAACGTTACCGACTTCATACGCTTTCCGATGTTTATGAACCTTCTTCGACGTGCAGGTTTCATTACGATGTTTTCCTTCACCGAAAAGCTCATGGTACATTTCAAATTAAATTTGGCACATAAATTCCGAGGAGCTCGGTAGTGCGAGTCCGGATTAGAACTCACGGCCTCTGCTTGAGAGGCGGTAGATCAACCTAATAGAGGTTACCACGGCTCGTGTGAGAAAAATCGTTAAGAAAGATTTCCTGAATTGTTATTTTCTAGCTCAGCAAAATACTAAACCATGTTCAAGGCCGAGCAGAAGTTAAACGGTGACTTTATCACTTTTATGTGTTCAGTGATAAAGTTTTTTCGCGTTTATAACAAAATATTGTAAAAATCCGATTCCCCATTTTTACGAATCTCGCAGTTTAGAACTGCTGTGAACAAATCTAGCGCCAATTTATTTTAATTCAAAATTTAAACACATTAATTACGCCTTTTCCGTTTTAAAGATTATACAAAAGCAGACAAGTAACTACAAACATCGTCGTAAATCTTTCAGATTTCGACTTTTTAATTTTCAAACATAACACAAAGTTTGTTCGAGATAGTAACTGAATGTTTCCGGTTACAATAAACGTTTTCGACACTCTATTTTTTACACATAATTATGATAAATTAATAAGCAGCGGATAACTTATTACCATAGTAAAACGTCCTGAAGAACATGATGATGCTAGAATAATTTTGGCGGGTTTTTGTAATTACAGTTTTTACATGTACTTATTAATTTTTACATAGTGCGCACTATAAGTTTCCGGAACTGGTCACATATTTAAAAAGTAATTACTATGTTTGATAAATGAAACTCTTTGGCTGTAGAATACAGTTTGTTTCATCTGACTGTCACTTGTTTTTACATTGTCGCCATGGATTTAACTCGTGAAGTAAGTGTAATTCAACAGCTCAGCTGAGCTTCGCTCAGCTTCAAACTGCTTTTGGCGATAAAGTACCATACGAGACGGCCATTTATAGCTGGTTTACAGATTTCAAAGGCGGTCGTGTGAATACCAGTGACGAATTTCGTGATGATCACCCGTCCACTGCTATGAACAACAAAAATATCGATGCTGTGCGCCGTACGATCAATACAGACAGGCGTGTGACATACCATGAGACTCGGGCATCTTGAGGCATAGGCATGAGTCAAATACAATCAATACTACACAAACATTTGGGTGTGAAAAAGCTGTGCTCTCGGTGAATCCCACACAATTTGACTGAGGCTCAAAAAACGAATCGCGTCACTTGGTGCAATGCCATGCTTACCAAATTCAACGAAGGGGCGTCAAATTTGTTGTGGCACATAGTAACAGGTGACAAAACATGGATTTATAGTTACGATCCCAAAACAAAGCAGCAATCGAGCGTATGGGTCTTTCGAGATGAGCCGAAACCAAGTAAAGTGGCGCGCGTACAAGATGCCTATAAGCGGATTGCTTCTTTTTTTGATAAAACTAAACACGTGGCTACTCTTACTTTGGAGAATCGTTGTACCGTGAATAGTGATTGGTACACGACCATTTGTTTGCCGGAAGTTATTGACAAACTCCGGAAAAATAACCATGCCAGTTCTCACACGGCCAGACAGACAAATGATTTTTTGAAGGTTAGAACAACGTTGACCTTATGAGCCATCGCCATCCCGCGTACAGTCCCGACCTGGACCTTGTGACTTTTATTTATTTCCAAAAATTAAGAACCAGTTACTCGGTCATCGATTTTCATCACCTGAAGAGGCTGTCGAAGAGTATTAAAAATTTGTTTCAGAAATTGTCACGGAGGAGTAGCATAAATGTTTTCAACATTGGTTCATTCGTATGAACAAGTCAATATTTTGAGAAACAATAAATTCATTTCTGACCATTTATAGTGTTTTTTTCTTATTCATTCCGGAAACATATAGTGCGCCCCACGTAGTTTACGTTTTTTACATTATATTTTGTGGTTTTTAAATATTTTCATTTTAATTATTATTTGTTACCTTGTTAAATTGATAGCTCTGTAGCCAATAAATATTTTACAACGTAATGTTATTTTCAGTTTGTTCTTCCTACACTTCGACTTTTTTAGCATTACATAGAAGGAAATTCTCGGTCTTTTATCAGACGCCATTGTATTCTATTCCGTTTTTTTGTAAGCAAAGCTATTTAATAAAACCATGAAACGAAATTTTCAAACATATTCACTAAATTTATGTAATTACTAAGTTTCTTTTACTCGTAGTATTCACTAACGATTAATGAAAAGTTGCTATCTTTACATACAATTCTACCTTTAAATGACATAGTCTACTTCAAAGTCTTGCACTATACAAAATTTAAAGAATCAGCGGTTACGAACATTAAACGGAAACTTTTTATAAAATAATAACATAATATAACATTTGTGTTATTTACAAATGACATCTGTTGTCAATTCTCTTGATCTTTTCCTTTACTGTAACTTGTTATCTGAAGAAAAGGTTTATGATCACTGCTCTTGGTTTACGTTTTTTCTAATTAAAAAAAAACTATAATTTTAATGGAAATTTTTAATCATTAAATATTTGAATGTTTATCCTGAAATATTAAATAGAATATTATATGTACTATGAAAATATTATATAGAGTATTCAAATAAAAAAATCCACCAAAATTAGATGGAGGGAACTGACCTGAAAATGACCGTAATAAAACTGTTATTTTTCAGAGGGGAGATTCACAGCGCGCGGAATATCATAATGTTATTTTTCATAGTGATCGCGCTTCTCATCTTTAACAGATATGTGAGTAATTGACTATTCTAGTAGTGTTGCATTCCATACAGTAACTCCTGTAATAACAAAGTCTAGCAAAGATGCTATTGTGTGTCTTATGCTCTATTTATAAGTAAATGTTTACATTACAGACCGAGGCATTGGATCGCGCGCGTCATTCGCGCGGGGAACGTATGCGGGCACAGGTATACCACCTTTACAAACACGAATTGCTTTCATACTTTTCAATAATATCGAGCTGTTAGGTTTTCGCGATTGTTACACATTGGAAATAAAACTAGTTGCTCGGATCTAAATCTCGTATATTTGATTTTTCAAACAAACTAACGTTTCGGGTTTCCCTTTACAAGTATGACTATAGCAGTAGTAGAAAAAATGTTGTGGTAACTACATAAATAGAATTCATAGTATTTGTTTTTTTTTAATTTTTATAATACCAAGTGACGTAACGAACAAGTCCATAACGAAACTGTCCATAACAGTTTCAGTGCCACTCAGAGCTTTAAATCGCAAAGATTTCTGGGTCACTGCCACTGCGCCCGACGCCCTGAGACATAAGTTGACAAGTTCCATGGGCCTGTAATTTCACCGACACTCTTACCCTTTTAAACCGGAACGCAGTAATGTTCACATTACTGTTTGGTGGCAGAAATAGTTAAGGTGGCAGTACTTCCCTGGACGAGCTCTTTCACAAGGAGATCCACTAGTACTAAAACACACTTACTGAGTTACACGTACAGTTCAAAGCTTGGATTAATATGTCATTTTTCTAAAATAATTTTTATTATGTTCCTGAATGACGGGACAAACAAGTCGTGCACCTGGGCCTTGATTTTGATTGCCTCTCCTGATCGAAAACTGCGTCTTTTCCGTGTCGAGGCGTATAATATTGCGGGTGGGCTACCCGATCGGATCGATACCGATTTGAATTAAAATCAGCGCCCTGATTGTAAGCGACACGACTGTCCATAGCAGTTGCAGTGCGACTCATAGCTTTAATCTAAGGGGCACTGCCACTGCGTCCATCACCCCGAGACATAAGTTGACGAGTCCCATGAGCCTGTAATTTCACCAGCACCCGTACCCTTCAAAACCGGAACGCGGTAATGCTCACATTACTGCTTGGCAGCAGAAAAAGATAAGGTGGCAGAACTTCCCTTCCCTTCTCTTTCGCGAGGAGCTTACTACAAATTAATTACACACTTAAGTCAGACAAAAATAAAATAAATAAATAAATAAAAGTCAGCCATGACCGTGGGACCTGTAAAGGGCCTGAACCATTGGTTTGTTTAAAAAAACAAATATATGCATGTATGCATGCGACTTAGATCCGAAAAATTAGTTTCATTTTTCTATAAATGGTTTTACAAACTATAAACTTATATACATGGGATTTGAGAACGGGATGGACATAGATTTAACTAAGAAGAACAATAATAGAGTCGTGGGTTACACTCATCTACCAATTATTTCACCTTGACACTGTTAAACAACTTAGTTCAAAATACATGAATCATACACGATGAAAAATGCTACGTGTTGTCAGGCAATTATTTCGTCAATAGGTCATATAGGACGGAAAAAAATTATTTATAGGTCATAGTAAAACTACCTATATCGAAACTCTGTTGTCTATAGTATATAAAATTTGAAAAAAAAAGGATATAATCAAAATGTTGATGGAAACTTTGCCCACACATGTAATAATGATGTTTATCTTGTTGTACTGCTATCTCTCTTTATACAAAAGAAGGCCGATTATAGAACTAATTAAATACAATATCGTCGTGCCGTGTTTTATTAGTTTCTCGTTAAATTATATTAGTTGCAAAATTACATGCGTCCTATTAAATAATAAACTTTATATTAAATATTTTTTTATGAAAATACGACTTGTAAAGCCTATTAAGAATCAGCCAAGTACAAAGGGTAACATACATTAAAATGTACTGACTATAATTACATGCTTCAGGCCCAAACAAATTCACCTTCAGTTTTTATGAAAAACGTGTTTTGCTAGATTTTTTTATGATACGAAATGACGGGACGAACAAGTCGTGCGCCTGTCCATAGCACTTGCAGTGCCGCTCAGAGCTTTAAATCGCTGAAGTCTGAGAGACACTATTCCTGCGCCCGTTACCCTTAGACATAAATTGACAAGTCCCATTGTAACTTCACCAGCTCCCTTCTTACCCTTCAAAACCGGAACACAGTAATACTGACATCACTGCTTGGCCGCAGAAATAGTTAAGGTGGTACTTCTCTCGAAGAACTCTTTCACGAGGAGCTCTACTGCTACTAGGCATTAGGATAGGGACTATACCGTAACTGGATACCCTATGGTCATATAGAATATGTAACGCTAAATTTGAATGCGATTCATTTTTCATGATATATACATTACGTGGGCGTTTACGTGATCATTAACATTGTCTGGGTATTAATCGCTTCACATTATCATGTACATTTTGATGTCCACCGGGGCCTTAGGAGGATAGATTTTAAAAAACAACAATGGGATATGATTTTTTTAAATAGGGATACACAATGTTCACACATACCTGAGTTGGGCAAAAAACAGCCAGCGGGTCAATCTGGACTGCGAAGGGCACCGTCCCTTCTAAAGTAAATGTATGGCTCTCGGAACTACATGCTTTTGACAGTCTCATCGAAATTGACACACAAAATGACAAATATATTTTAATATACACACAAACTTAAAACTACACAAATTGAAAATATTTTTTTTAATAATTGACATGGGGCCACTGTATTATTTATTTATTTACAGTCAAATGTCTTGTTTTTCTGGCACATAATGGATAAAGTTTGCCCACCCGTGTTACATACAAACATTGGCAAGAGATTGATTTCGTTAATTGCGCGCTAAAAAAACATTACGCTTATGCTTGTTTATGTTGACTGAAATTTCGTAAAATCGTTTGTTTTTGAGTATTTGAATATACTAAAATGTAAACAGGCTAAATGGTACGTATCGCGTTAGTCATCACTCGTGTAATTTCAAGTGTTTGCTGTTATAATTAATTGACGAAGTGTATGTTTGTTAGTAATTAGTTCAAATTAGGTGACATTTTGTTTATACATGTTGACTGTATTGTACTCGTTTCACTCTTCCAGGCTGTCTCGATCTATGACCTTTGAAATAAATGTTGTAAATGATAAATAAGTACAAATGTCTATTTACAAAGAGCAACCCCTAGAAGTTCTTACTCATTCTTCTGCCGTACGAATTAGCAGTAAAATTTAATCAATATGAAGATTTCAAGTTGAATTTGCTTGCCTATGAAGTCTTCTTATCCCATCGATGGCGTACTCTGCAATGTTTGATATCACGGTGAAATGATTTACCAATCGGCTTAAGGTACTTGTCCAAGCCCGCGCACAAAAAAAGGAATTGTACGTGTTGCGGGGAGTCCCCTTTTGTGCACCCAACTTATAGAACTAAAGATTATTTTTTAGTTTGACTTTGACTTTACTTGTGCACATTATCGACTGTCTTAAACTCAATTGTCCTTAGGGACATCGAATATTTTTTTATTGCACTATCCATTTTAATGTTTTAACTGACATCAAAAAAAGGAGATTCTTAATTCGACTGTATTTTTTTTAATGTATGTTACGCGATAGCTCCATTTGTGAACCGATGATTCTCTATGATGATGATTTTGATGATTCTTTCTTTGTTGGAAAGAGGGCACCTCAGTGTTGGTCCTATTTAAATTTGAAGAAAATATCCCACCTCTGAGGGTGGCAAATTAGGGGATGAATTCGGTTTCGCGCACTTTTCGGTAACCGATTTCAATGAAACTTGGCAAATAGATGTAATCCCACGAAATTCTGAGGACGGCATTTTTTGTAAATATATTATTCTCCTCTATCTTTCTATATATTTAGAATTTCGATATCTCTTCAAGCATTTAAAGGCCGCTTTCTATATTTGATCCTGAATCTAAGATTGTTTTCTATCCGGATTTTATTCGATCCATCGATCGCTGCCGAATCTGTATTTCAATATGTCTATCTCGGCTCTAGTCTAGAACATCTACCTCATAGCTTTCAAAACAAAAAGTTACAACGTTCCATTTATGTATTTTATTGCTTTTTGCTCGTCCTGCAAAGCTGCCCTTTGTCCCTTACCTTGACTTTAAGACTATCATTATTTTGACAGGCAGAGCAAGCGGCAGATCTACGCCGGCGTAATCTAACGCTTATCCACAACGTATTGCCACCGCACGTAGCGCGTCACTTCATGGGTGCACGTCACCACCACCGAGACCTCTACAGTCAGAGCTATGCAGAAGTCGGCGTGCTCTTTGCCTCTATGCCTAACTTCACAGGTAAATACCTATTGGTGATTTTATTGATTTAATAGTAATAAAATAAGTACATAAAATATGCGGTAACAACACTATTGCGTAAACAAAGTTGGCCAAAGATACGTACATTGTTGCATTCCATTGGCAAGGCTACATTCGCGGACTCATAAAATACCTTGTAGAATTATGGTATAATAGGCTTCACTCCAAAATCAAAATCATAGTCGAATACATTAGGTAATTTCCTAGAATACATTTAACAAGATCTTATATAATTACCAACGGCACAGTATTGAACCTACAAAATATTCCTGCAAATATTCGTTAAGTTATATTATTTTGTAACTTAAATTCTAAGTACTCTCTGACTGTCCAAAACAGTGTTTTAACCTAACTAATAAAATGCTGCAATGTATGGTACATTGGAGCATTTTATAAGTTAGGTCTACGATTCTGGTGTCAGCGCCTTAGATAATTATTCTGGTAGGGTGAATCGTACCTTTTTACTTTATTGTGCAAGCCTAAGAAAAGCTTAATGTTTGTGCTAATAATGGTAATAAGTTTATTTTTCGCCTCACAAGGAAAGGCTTTGGAAATTTACGCGCAATAGCGTATTTTCCTCGCTATTGTGGAAAACATTTTTTGATTTTCGAACTTGACGACTGTGGTTTACAGGTGCACCTAACTTTTTCTTTCGATGAAAAAAAAAACATAATGACACGTTCAACTACGCTATTTATTGTACATTATTTATATGTGATATAAGTCCCTTAGTATAATAAAATTAATCTTATTATAACATAAAGATAACTAATTTTGTTTGTTACAGTTCCACTGTTTTTCTTTCATCTACCATTTTTCTCCCTACAGTGAGGTGAAAAGTTATGTGTTTCGCTCGACAGCCAAGTTGTCATGCGTCTCGTGCCTTATGAAACCCTCACTACGCTCAGGATTCAATTTTTCAATCTTAGAAACCTTCGCTTGCTCAGGTTTCAATACAAGGACTCGCATCAAACAACAACAATGCAGCCTTGCATAACAAATAACTATTATTATTTAAGGACTTATTCTTTAAAGTCTCCAATGAATTGTAATAAGGCCACATCTGGAAAATGACAACTTTTAATGAGAAACTAATAAGTCTATTACTTTTTTATGCTTAAATAGGAGACACAAAATTTCATTTGTGAATTATTTTTATTACGTTTCACGTGATAACAGAACTTTTAGCGTGTGAGAAAGTTTGTTACTTTTTAATTAACTACAGAATACCGTGATGAATCGTAACAGAATTCTGCGTACATAATTTACATAACTAATTCAAGTAACTACATAGCATTCCAAGACAACATAACAGTGTTTGTTTGTTTCAGAATTCTACTCGGAAGAAACGGTTAATAATCAAGGTTTGGAATGTCTGCGATTTCTCAACGAAGTTATATCGGATTTCGATTTGGTAATTGCCTGAAACATCTACTTTCGTTGTATTTATGCCATGTTCAACATTTCAAAAGATACCATTAACATTTTATTGTGCTCCCACGTTTGCTTTAACTCATTACTGTTACTTGATGTTACTGGTCAAAAAAAAAAGGTACTGCTTTGATTCGAAACGCGGTCATAAGCAATAGAAAACTCAGATAACAATCAAACAACAAAAATTTCTTCTAAATTACAATCAAAAGTAGCCCACAAATGAATAGGAAATATTTGTTTGGGGCGCACTATAAGTTTCCGGAATGAATAAGAAAAAAATACTATAAATGGTCAGAAATGAATTTATTGTTTCTCAAAATATTCTTCGTTAGCGTTAATGCACTTTTTCATACGAATGAATCAATTTTGAAAACATTTATGCCACTCCTCCGTGACAATCTGTGAAACATATTTTTCATTCTCTTCGACAGCCTCTTCAGGTGATGAAAATCGTTGACTGCGTAACTGGTTCTTAATTTTTAGAAACAAATAAAAGTCACATGGTGCCAGGTCGGGAATGTACGCGGGATGGCTCATAAGGCCATCGTTGTTCACCTTCAAAAATTCATTTGTCTGTCTGGCAGTGTGAGAACTGGCATTATCGTGGTGCAAGATGATACGGCGTTTACGGTTATTTTTACGGAGTTTGTCAATAACTTCCGGCAAACAAATGGTCGTGTACCAATCATTATTCACGGTACAACGATTCTCCAAAGCAACAGTAGCCACGTGTCCAGTTTTATCAAAAAAAGAAGCAATCATCCGCACTTTCAGAATCAGAAGCACTTTGTACGCGCGCCACTTTAGTACTCATGGTATGTCATATGCCTGCATGTTTTGATCATACGGCGCACAGCATCGATGTTTTTGTTGCTCACAGTAGTGGACGGGCGACCATCACGAAATTCGTCACTGAGATTCAACACGACCGCGTTTGAATTCTGTAAATCAGCTATAAATAGTCGACTTGCATGGTGCTTCATCGCCAAAAGCAGTTTGAAGCCCAGGGAAGTCAGATGAAACAAACTGTATTCTACAGCCAAAGAGTTCTATTTTCAAATGTTGTAATTACTTTTTAAATATTGTTTATGTAAGTGACCAGTTCCGGAAACTTATATTGCGCCCTATATATTAGAAATAGTTTTTAGGTCTAATATTGATTGTTTGATTTCAGTTGCTGGAGAACGCCAAGTTTAGCAACGACATAATAAAAATAAAGACAATCAGTTCCACGTACATGGCTGCATCAGGCCTAAATCCTACCCGACAGATGCAGGTACTACTGTAATTTCTTACGTGTGCATTGTTGAATATTTTGGTAAAAAATTTTTATAAGGTTTACCTTATAAGATTTTAACTGACTAACAGTAAGGTCAGGTTAGAAATATTTCCTATATTTCTCGTCATTTACATTAGCATTAATTGGGAATTTAAAGGAAGTTAACCCTCGAGTGTAAAATACTGATCGCGTACGCATTTTTACATAATTTGTTTTTATTGATTTTCGTTCAAGGAAAACTTATAATTCTCTTGCTTAAATATATTTTTTTAAAGCACACGCTGGGAAACCCTGTATCGCAGGTGCCATGGACACACACATAGACAACCATCACAAATTTCACCCAAACCACGAGAGAAATAGATGTAGGCCATACAATATTTCTCCCAGCCCGGGAAACGAACCCGAGACCTCTTCGTGCATTCGGCCACGGAGGAAGTTTATTATTAAATTAATGTTGCATCTAAAAGAGTTATAATTTAACTAACAAAAATGCGAATTAAAAACGTTATTGCTTATTATCTATGTTTTACAATACATTTCCTCCGTATTACAAAGAAATCACATTTATTGATTATTGTAAGAACACCATCACTCTTAGAAAATGGCATATATATATGTGTATATATATATGGTATATATATATAATGTTTCTATTTATGGTGCCATTTCGCTGCTGGTGTAAGTACAAAGTTGTAAAATTGCAGCATAAATAAATTATAAGGGATGTAAAGATGCATACGAGGTACACACTTCTGCATGCTTGCAGTTAAAGCGTGAAGTCGTAATCAACTTCATGCGGCCGAGATCAACTGCATGCAGTTAATGCGTAAAGATGATTACCACTTCACGCATTAACTGCAAACATACTGTTAGCAGCCTAAAACATTGTTATAGAAAGTGTATTCCCATTTTGTAAATATTTTTACACAGTTACTCATTACAGAGGTGTTATTTTATCATATTTAGCCATCAGATGGGATAACGGTAAGATGGGCGCATCTAGCCTGCCTAGTAGAGTTCGCGCTTGAGCTCCAACGGGTGTTGGCTGCCATCAACGAGCAGTCTTTCAACCATTTCGTTCTCCGCATGGGCGTCAACCACGGCCCCATAACCGCCGGCGTTATCGGAGCACGAAAACCCCACTACGACATCTGGGGTAACACCGTTAACGTTGCTTCCCGAATGGAGAGCACTGGCAAGGCTGGCTGCATACAGGTACATAACAGATATTAATTACACACATCGCAATTGAGGCTACCAACGCAAAAGTGGTGTAACCCCATGAAATGCATTTAGAAAATTTCAAATTAGCCAAATTCATTTCATATATACATAATAGTAATCAAATATGATCAATATAGTAATAATATGTATTAATACAAAGAGAAGAAAAAATTCCTTCGACCCGGCCTTATTCGAACCGACGTCTTCTAGCAAACCGTGCCAGACGCTATGCCAACTAAGGTACGGAACGAACCTGCGGACCTCACGAGTTTTGCTTGTTTGTCGGATCTTTGTACAATTTTCAAGAGTTTTTAGCCATAGCGCCATCTATGAGAAATCTATGAAAGTATTTCGTTACCCAGTTAGATAGATACCTTTACGCTGGTTCGTTCCGTGGCTTAGTTGGTATAGCGTCTGACACGGTATGCTAGAAGATGTCGTTTCGAATCCGGCCGGATCGAAGGAATTATTTCCAAATGTGCCGTCGTTGTATTAATAATTATAACAAACTAGTGGAGTAATTTCTCAAAAAATAATTGAATATTAATTCGATAAAAATTTCATAATTTTTAGTTATAATTTGTTTTTCATACATGAAAATAGCATTTAAATATAAAGTAATTATATTAACCCATTTATACGTCTTACTGCTGGGCACGGGTCTCCTCTCAGGCGAGGGTTTTAGGCCGCAGTCCACCATGCCGCCTTACCTATTTCTGCCGCCAAACAAGCCGCATTGTTGTGTTGCGGTTTTGAAGGGTAAGGGTGCTGGTGAAATTACAGGCACATGAGACTTGTCCACTTATGTCTCGGGGTGATGGGAGCAGTAATATAGAACCTAGGAGCCTATACACGCGGCGTATTTTATATGTAAAAGCTCGTCATCTGCGTGTATTATTTATTTATAAGAAAATTCTTGCGGACTTATAGCTTGACTAACACGCCCAGCGTCACGCCAAATATTGGATTACAATATTGATTATAAAATAATAATGATAACAATAATACAGTCGAAAATAGATGTCCACAATAACAATTAGAATAATAAAAGTAATAAACACAAAACTATAGTAACAACAATTTGTATTCTAAATAGCTCTACAATAACATAATTAAAAAAAATACAACAGCGGCTATAGCGGGTATTTGCGCTGTAGTTGCGCATCTTGATAACAGTTCTTTTTAACCGACTTCAGAAAAAGGAGGAGGTTCTCAATTCATCTGTATGTTTTTTCTTTTTTTTTGTATGTATGTTACGCGATAACTCCGCCATTTATGAACCAATTTTGATGATTCGTTATTTGTTGGAAAGAAGGTACTTCAGATGTGGTCCCATTTAAATTTCAAGAAAATATTCCACCTCTACGAGTGGCATACTAGGGGATGAATGACTATTGAGGTCGGTTTTTTAAACAGATGTTAGGTTATTCTATGTATGTTACGCGATAACTCCGATATTTGTGAACCGATTTTCATGATTCTTTTTTATTGGAAAGAGGGTGCCTCCGTAGTGGTACCATTTAATGAAGAAAATCATCCACTTCTAAAGGTGGCTGTTCACGCATGAAGATTCATTTTTTTCCGGTAACCGATTTCAATAAAACCCAAGTTTTATTGAAATTTTGTTTATTAAGTTTATTGAAATATGTAATTCCACGCACTTTTGAGGTCGGTTTTTTTAGTACTTTGTACTGAGATTATTCATTTTAGTTTTGTCTATTAATTTAAGTCAATTTTTGAAACGAAGCAATTACATGAAATTGTAAGTGTAAATTCCAGTGCAGTATAGAAGCATCTTGCTTGCAACGCGATATTTGCGCGCGTTTGAATCGATTTACTATAGCGCGTCTGCAATGACGCACGTTGACGGCGCGTATACTACGAGCAGATGAGCAGTGTGCATAGGCAAAACAAATTATGTATATATTAAATTTTATAACTCTCCAATAAAAAAAAGTTCTCGACAAATTTTGTTCGCAGAAACTTCAAACCTCTGTTCTAAAAAGTTGTCATTTTGCAGATGTGGCCGTATTATTACATAAATGTGTTTCATAATTCTTATTTGTTTTCCACACAGACCAAACAAGGTTTTTATAGAAATAGGGTTGTTTGGATATCTGATTTCTAACGTTGAGAGTTTTGCGATGACAAACCTATGTGACAGGTGACAGAGGAAACGTGCCAGATCTTAGAGAAGTTCGGTTATTACTTCGAGCAACGGGGATTGGTGACAGTAAAAGGCAAGGGCCAATTGATGACCTACTACCTGCAGGGCAAGCGTGATGTATGTGAAACCGATAAGCTCGTAAGTAAATTGTAATAATTATTATCACATTAGTTTGGTTGTGCTGTACGGTAGTTAGGATGACATCTGGTTAGCGACGTACCTATAGTGAAATAGGAACAATCTTAGATAATGTTTTTATTAGTTAATGGTGAAAATAGAAATGAAATGATAATTGCATTATCATATAAAGAATCTTATATGCAATCCAGTACCCTACTAAAGATGTCACGTTGCTTCAATACATTACATTATAATTCACTGAAGTTTAACGTCTAAGTGTATGTTAGCCTTTACTGCGTTCCGGTTTTGAAGATTAAGTGTGCTGTTCTAAGTACAGGTAAACGCGACTTGTCAAATTTGTCTCAGGAAGACGAATGCAGTGGCAGAGGCTCTCATTCGGTTTGCAGTTTCTTTTTATATAATATTAAATAACGAGATGAACAAGTCATGCGCTTGAAGGTAAGCTACACGCCTTTCCATAACAGTTGCAGTGCCACTCAGAGCTTTAAATCGCAAAGATCTGAGAAGCACTGCCACTTTGTCTGTCACCCCATGGCAAAGGTTGTCAAATCCCAGCACCCTTACCCTTCAAAACCGAAACGCAGCAATTCTGAACGTTCTGAGTGGCACTGCAAGTGTTATGGCTAGGCTTAGGTAGGCAACACGCCTATCCATAGCAGTTGCAGTGCCGTGATAAGTCGCGCACTTGGAGCTTATACGCTTATTAGTACTTATTACACTACCCGTTTTCAAGGGCCTTGCGTCAAGGATGGGCGTGGACCCTAATTAGAGCATCGCGCTTATTAACTTATATACATAAGTTGTCCATATTAGAGACCCTAACTCCCTAACTACAATTACACCTCCCAAGGTTACCGCTAGGGTTCCTTAAAATCAGGTAGTATAATAAGCGTTTTAGTATCTTCGAAGGCTTGGAGGTCCAGGCGCACGACTTGTTCGTTCCGTCACTAGATGTCATAAAAATAATGATGGCGGACTGCTAATACCGTATTTTTATTTTTCTAAATGTTTCGTCTAATTTACCAAAGTTGTTATCGAAAATAATTGATAGAAATTGTTTAACAACTAGATAAATCTAACTATGTGTAAATCATTAAACCTCGTTATATAGTTTATATTTAGTAATGTAATATTTTAAAATCTAATAAAAACGTAGTTCCTAATTAAACAAACTATAAGTTCTTGACAGGATTTAATTTATAATATAGTTTCATAAATATTTACATGAATTTAGCAGTAATAGAGCTCCTTGTGAAAGAGTTCGTCCAGGGAAGTATTGCCACCTTGCCGTTTTCTGCCGCCAAGCAGTAATGTCAGCATTACTGAGTTCTGGTTTCGAAGGGTAAGGGTGCTGGTGAAATTACAGGCACGTAGGACTTGTCAACTTATGTCTCAGGGTGATAGGCTCTGTGGTAGTGCCCCTCAAATCTTTGCGACTTAAAACTCTGAGTGACTGCAACTGTTACGGACAGGCGTATAGCTTACCATCACGTACATGACTTGTTCGTCCCGTCACTGGATATTATTAAAAAAAAATACGAATAGCTTAATTAGTTACTCTTTTGCAAATTCAAATTGTTGACTTGATTTAGTCTATTATTTCTTTATAATACGTATAAGAACATTATTTTTCGCAATTTAAATAAAATAGATCTCTGTAGAAGGCGTAACCCCCGAAAACCTAAACAAAAAATTTTACTAGCGAACGTATGAGAGTAACACTTCCTTTTATAAACCCCTGATAAGAATGTGTCACCTTTACAAAGCGATATCTATGAAAATCTCAGGTTTAAATATATTTATGAATATATTTTTGATCCACGATCCAGAATATTTAAAAGAGTATTAACTCACCTGGCACTTATACGGTATTCATCCATACCCATGTCGCTTTATATTAAGTAAATAATTAGGTATATTAAATAACGAGTACTTAGGTTTTCGTGATTGACAGGATTAAATAAGTAAATTATTAACAAATTCTGAACAATAGATCTCCTATATGGATTCTTGTTACTTTACAATGATGTGTTAATATTATAGGTTATGTGTTTTGTTGTCCATATAATAAATAGATTTAAAATAAAACCATCGACTTGGGAAGAAGAAGCAGCAACATTATTTGAGGCATTGTTTCGAGAAGTAGCGTACTGCAATACACTAAAGCATCATTTATCAAGGATAGAAAACAAAAAGTAATTGTGACATCTACTATCAAGTTGAAGGACGTGTCCCTGACAGTCTACCCGGACAGGCCGAGTGCAGCTCGTCGCCCTGAACTGGACAGGCTGTCTGGAGCAGTGTCCATTATATACTACTAAACTCGTCGTCGAAAAGCAAAGAAGACTGAAGATTTGAAGAAGAAGCAGACACATTAACTTTATTATTATGTTGTATATTTTGTTAAATATAAGTCTAATATTTTAGGCCTTAACGAATATGTATATGTATGAAATGATTTTATCATAGAGGTGTGTAATCTATAATACGCAACATGTTCGTATTTTGACCCATGCATAACAGTTTACTAAATATTAGGTGTAATCGTGGTGACCCCGACCCCGGATGTGGTGCGCTCTTCATTTCCGTAGCGCTCAAGCGTTGCGTGCGCGCAGCGAAAAACGAATCTCGCAGACAGTAATTGCATAACGCATGATTTAAAAAACAATAGTCACAATCGTTCTTGATGATCTGTTATGTTGTAGGAGGAGGGTGGGTGCGCTGCGAGCGCGGGCGACGCTCAACCGTTGCTTGCAAACGGGGACGCAAGCGCCGTGAGTCATGGAGAGGATCTGGTAGCAGTCCCTCATGGTCGCTCACCGCGCCACGCTGACTCAGCCACCATTGAAGCCGGCCAACCTCTCCTCGCCGCACAACCATAAGTTTCTTGTCACTCATAATACTACATCAACCACGCATTTCCATTACGAAAAGTGCACTCTAATTCCGATATTCCTTGTTTCACTATCATACTTAAATCGTAAACAACAAAGGTTCACAATAATACGCTTGTAGGAGTACACAAAAACAGGGTATGCATTGCAGATAATTTGGAAATTAAGTACAATTTATGCTTCTGTACGAAGAATTTTAATATCTACTCACACAATACACGTATATGTTATATCTAGTCTTTATATGAAAAGAATCTCAGTTTGTCATTTTGTTTTTACTATTCTACGAAGTAACAGTTGGTGGTTGTAGTAAAATAGTCTTGGTGCGGTACGTATATCAATGCACATTGTGAATGGTTGTCCCTATAGCAGTGAGATTAGATAAAAGTGTTTTAAATGTTAAGAAAATTACTTTGAAACTTGGTATATAAAGGGTTATTTTTAAAATACGAACAATCGCGCAGGACTGTATTATTAACATCGTAAACAACTACTTTTGTTTCGTGCCTTTTTACAAAACATATTTAATTAAAACATATTTCATGTAATCCCTCTTCCAAAAGTTACTAACCTCAGCCTCCTCAAGCATTACCGTCCCATCTCAATTCTTCCTTTTCTTTCTAAAGTCTTAGAGGCTGTCGTTCACAAACAATTGTCTGCCTATGTTTACTCAAACAATATCCTTTCTCCATTTCAATCAGGTTTTCGACCAGGTCATAGTACTTCTACTGCATTGCTAAAGATTGTTGAGGATGTAAGGAGGGGCATGGACTGTACTCTACTTACTGTGCTGGTCCTAATTGACTTCTCCAATGCATTCAACGTCGTGGATCATGACCTTCTCCTTGCTACCTTAGACCACCTAAACATCTCTTCAATGGCAGCTCAATGGTTCTCTTCTTATCTCCGCGATCGCCAACAAGCGATTCGTATTGATCGCTCGTTCTCAGAATGGTGTAAACTCACTTCCGGGGTACCTCAGGGCGGAATTCTCTCTCCTCTCTTGTTTTCTATTTTCATAAATCTGATTACGTCCAGCATCAAATGTTCTTACCACCTGTATGCCGACGACTTGCAGCTTTATACCGAGGTTAATGTCGGTGGCATAAGTGATGTAATTGTATTAATTAATGATGACCTTCATCGCGTCTCGGTTTGGTCCCAAAGGTTTGGTATCAATGTCAACCCTTCCAAGTGTCAAGCCATCATCCTTGGAAGCTCACGCCTTTTTTCGTCTTGTGATCTGTCGTGCGTGCCACCAATAATGTATGAGAACGTAGTGATTCCTCTGTCAAATCAGGTAAAGAACCTGGGGCTTATTATTGACACAGGCCTTACGTGGGATTCCCAGGTGTCTGACGTTTGTCGTAGGGTTACAGATACACTAAGAGCTCTATACAGGTTTAAGAACTTTCTTCCAATTAAAACCAAAACTCTCCTTGTTCAAGCTCTAGTGTTGCCTGTGATTGATTATGCTGACGTGTGTTACAGTAACATCTCTCAAGTCTTTTTGAATAGATTAGATCGTCTTCTTAACAACTGCATTAGGTTTATTTTTGGTCTGCGGAAGTATGACCATATATCTGCTTGTCGTCGTCAACTAAATTGGCTTCCCATCCGTGAACGCAGGTCCTTAAGAATTTTAACCACTCTTTTCTCCATCTTGTTCGACCCGGCTGCACCTGATTATCTTAAATGTTCATTTCAATTTCAAAACGCTCGGCCGGGTTGCGAATTTCGATCTTCCCGTAGCCTTAAGCTTTCCATTCCTTCTCATCGCACTGATTTTTTGTCTAATTCTTTTACCCTTCATGCAATTCGTCTTTGGAACGCGCTCCCGCTCCATATAAGACAAGCTCAGACCAAATTATCTTTCAAGCGCATGTTGCGCAAGCATCTGTTTGACAATAGTCAAAATTAAGACACTGTTTAATGTTGCTTTGGGTACATATATCATATTATTTATTATTATAATATATATATGTAAGTTTATTATGTATGTATAATAAGTATGTTTATTGTATGTTATTTATTTATACCATACAAATTATCGATTAGTTTTCTAGTATTTCTATTTCTTCTTGTTTAAGTGTAGCACCAACCTATTGTGTTTTCTTTTTCTGTTTGGCCCAATGGTTGACTGGTAGAGAATGCCTTATGGCATTAAGTCCGCCATTTGTACTTCAGTGTATTGTACAATAAAGTTTAAATAAATAAATAAATAAATAAAACATAATAAATTTTCCAAAAATAAACTTTAATAATAAATTTATTTTTGTACGAAAGTAAAAGCTGATGAATTATTAAAAGTAATGGGATAGAACTTGTTGTTTATGATGTTAGTAATATAGTCCTGTAAGGTTATAGTATTTTACGAATAACCCTATATTTAGTATAGCACAGGACATATTACGAATTCATTCCAAGAACAATAGGCATTAAATATAAACAATGCAACTTCGCAACGGCTTCTAGTATTCATGTAGTGCTGCTAATTTATTTGGTGAAGAAATTTTAAATAGCTAGCTTCTTGTTTTGTGGGTCGCTTATAAATTTTGAATATGCGATAAATATCGGCCGAGTGATAATGCGATGCAGAGTCATGCGCATGTGATTCTTTATTACATAATTTTTGCGATGTGCGGATAAACTGTAGTCGATGTTGCCTCAACTTCAAGTATTTAAGTAGGTAGGTATCTTGTGATATTCATTATTAGGTTTTTAGGTGTATTTAGAGTCGACGTCGAACTTAATTATTATCTAATTCGTGTATATAATTTTGTAGCATGTCGTGTATAGATTACTGTAACTAGAGCTGCAGGCAGCTTCACTATTAGCAGCTTATAAAGTAAAGTAGGTGGAAAAATCGGATACTTCACTTTAGGATATAGTTGAATGAGTTTGCACATTAATTAGACAAAAATTTCGATTTCTTAACGTTGAATCAAAGGTTATTTATTGCGCAAAACGTAGTATTAGTTTCATCAAGCAGAAAATGACTTACCTGAATTATAATAAGGTGAAGTAGGATCAGTGTAGAGTTCCTATATATCAAAATAATTTCTGTATTTTGTAATCAAATTTTTTAAATATTTTGATAGACGCGAGTGTTGTAGGCTAAACATGTTAACATAATTATTAATTTATTGGATTCAAAATGTAAACTCATGAATCAAAATCATGCTTTAAAAATAACGTCGACTGAATTTGTTTACTTCGTAACTCTTGGACGTAATTCCTTTTAGCTCAGTATCATACAATTAGAAATTAAAATGTAATTTCTAGACAACCATAGATTGTGATACAAATTTATTGTTAGTAAATCTGTTTTACGTGCCTACTGAAAACTCCACATTGATGGAGGTACGAAGTTCACGAATTTAGCCGACGAAGTCGCCTAGAGTATTTTAGTCTAAGTGTGTACTTGTGTTTATAAACTATTAGAATGGACATATATATCAATATATGTGTTTAATACAATGTACGCATGTAACTTAAATTATAAATGTATGTGTAGCATGAAAAAGAAATAAGTTATTTTTAAAATTAAGGAATGTAGGATTTTCAATGGTGATACTACTGTATGTATAAATACGTACCTATTTAGGTCTACCTGTGTAGAAATATATTTTATTTTTCTCTTTAGTGATATAATGACTTATCTTCCTGTGATTAGTGAATATTAATAATTTTTTACATGTTTAGCTCAATCATCTGAAGGTTGAACCTGTCGTGGCTATAATTTTAATAAATAAAGCAATATCTTCAAAGCAAAATGAGTATGCAATTTTTATTTTATCATCTTTCTGTTTATGGTAGAAGAAGTGCGCAGTTGACCTCCAACTCACGTGAAGGAAAGTGTAATAAAGTAAGTAATGCCTATTCACTCTCGCCTTGAAAAGGCCCAAGTTCAGAGAATATGTACGCAGGCAAGGAATTCCACTCCATAGCCGTTCACCATATAAATCTGGAAGCGCAACGCTTCGTGTGAATTAGAATATCTATAACACAGGTGTCGAATCTCAGCCTACATTTAGTGCAGTAGCAGCAGAGCTCCTTGTGAAAGAGTTTGTCCAGGCAAGTACTGCTACCTTACCTATTACTGCCACCAAGCAGTACCTAATGTGAACATTACTGCGTTCCGGTTTGGAAGGGTAAAATTTGTCGTCTTATGTCTCGCCCATATGCAATTTAAAGCTCTGAATGGCACAGCAACTGTTATGGATAGGCGTGTCGCTTACCACGAGCCGCAGTTCGTCCCGTCACTTGGTATTATAAAATAAAAAAGAAATATAAAAAAGAAGTATATATATATATATATATGTGTATATATATATATATGTATATATAATGTATAAATATATATCTACATATAATAGTAATTTCCTTGCCGGTAAACATCGTAAAAGAACTTTCACATGTTTGTATTCTAAAAACGTCTATGCAAATAGTGAAATAAACACGTTGCAACGAAACAAATGATCTTATATACAAAAACAAAACGTATCTCTGCAACACATTCGCCACGATTATGGCATATAGGTACGATAGATTAATCGAGGAAGTCATGGTCAGCAGACGTGCGTCGAGTGTCGTCTGCAATCATTAATCACATAATCACCACCTAACGCTCATTATCTCCACATTGTGTTTTCTTCAATCAAATATCAATTCTTCGCTTGGAACACTGATTACGAACTACCACTTTTTACGAACATAACGTTTGATATGCCCACATAATACTTAGTTAACAAGAAAGCAGAATATGTAAGTAGTTGCGCTTCATTTGTTTTTAAAAAATCGCTCTCCGCACAAAAAATGGATAATTGCAAAACGTATCTTGACTAGGTACGGTGCTCCGTCCCTAGAAAAATAAAGTCTTGTGTTTCATGACCTTTGTATTACTATTTTCAGCACTCATTACTATTATTTTTTAAATTAAATGGACTTGCTCTTGACCACTATGTGACGGTGGTCCTTATACCGTCATCCCACCTTTTTGTATCGCCTCTCTCCATTCGTATTGTATCGTTTTTTCTTCTTCTACTCATATTTAAATTTAAAATTGTTCCATTTTACCTCGCATTCCGATTTTGTTTCTTTCCATCGTCACTCTCTGCGCCAAAGAGAATTTAAGCACAACGTTTACTCTGCGCGACCGCGGTAGCGAACATACCATTATTTATCTTTTTGAATCGTTTACTAGGTATATTTATACAGTTTACATTTGAAAAGATTATATTTAATTAAATTTTTTATTGAATTGATATTCAATTATTTTTTGTGAAATTACTCCACTAGTTTGTTATAATTATTAATACAAAGATCGAACACTCAGCAAAAACACTCAGAAAAAACGATTAAAAAGTCGTTGAAAGACAAAGTACAAAGACACGACGCAAGCACATAGAGAAATTCGTGAGGTCCATTGGTTCATTCCGTGGCTTAGTTGGTATAGCGTCTGGCACGGTATGCAAGAAGACGTCGGTTCGAATCCGACCGGATAGAAGGAATTTTTTCTGAGTGTTTTTTCTGAGTGTTCGATCTTTGTATTAATAATTATAACAAGATTATATTTGTTAAAACCGATTAAATAAACCGATTAAATAAACCGATTAAATATCTATAAACTGGACTTTCAACGTTTGAATTGCTAAATTTACTAAATAAGATGTTGGAGGCTGCGAGGCTGAGGAGGCAGAGGTTATTACTGTTATCCAGGCTATACACCATTACAATCTACCAGAACGCCCCCAGCACCAGCAGCACCTCCACACTGGCGCCCAAGCTCTGGAGCAAAGATAGGATCTACGATGGAACGAGCTTGCCCAGAATATGCCTATTCAGTCGTACCTTAAACATACATTCATTGACTTACAATTATATGGACGTCGGGTCCGCGCTAAAAAGTGTCCGCACTTGTAAGGCGCTAAAGTCGTATACAGAGCGCGACACTCCGCTTTAGTCTTCATTTGTTCTACTGACAGCGCAATACTGCGATGACATTACAATTTAAATTTCGAATAGGTTGACTTGGGACATTTTTTCGTGGTTTTTGTATTAGACCCGTCGTCCATTTATTTGTAAGTCAATGCATACATTAAAGATACTTACAGATTATTATGCAATGAGAGTAATGGTTTAACCTACCGCTTCTCAAGCAGAGGCCGTGTGTTGGAATCCGGGCTCACACCTCTTAGTTTTCCGGAACTTATTTGCCATATTTAATTAAAAGATTACCACGAGCTTTTTAGGTGAAGGAAAATATCGTTATGAAACCTACACATCGAAGGAGATTCATAGCCCTCCGAACCGTGGGTTGATGATAAGTCCTATATCTAACGGTTATGAAGTTTTCATAGTAGGATAAATATAACTAGGATATTCCCTGAGTACCAGAGCCCCGGAATTCACTCTGGGATCTTATCCAGAACACGCAGATCAAAACCAATTTACAAAATTTCATTTCCCAATTTGGTCTACCGGGAACCGAACCCGGGATCTCTTCATCCAGTGGCCACTATATAAGCCGTTGGGACACCGAGACCGACAAAATACAAAATATCGTTGTACCCAAAGTGAAATTCAAATAGTCAAGTACGTTAGGATCGAAAAAAAAATTGTATGGAAATCAGGCAGGAGTCAAGCAGTTGCATGATATGTATTTAGCTTACATACAAACAAAACAGTGTCATATTGAAATGAACATTAGCAATGATTTACTAACGAGTAATAAACCTTTATTAACTACATCAAACGAGCGTAACATTACGACATAAGAATTGCTATTACCAAGCTGTGGTTTGGAGTCAGGCCTTTGGAATTTACTTTCTTTTAGTTAAAATCGTGCGCTAAAAAGATTATACAATTAATTAAGTTAATATGAGACGTTTAAAATTAAGTAATGCGAATAAATTGGTAACAAAAAATAAACCTCTATGCGAAATTACAATTCATTTCAGGGTCTCAAACACCCAAAAAAATATTAAAGTAAAAAAGGAAAATTAAAAAAAAGGAGGAGGTACAATTATAATAATATGTATCTTTAATATGCTAAAATACATATTTGACCTTAACGTTTTTGTCATAAAAACTATGTATGTATTATTTTAATTTTACATATGTTTGTAATGCCATAATAAATAATAAAAAAACGATAGAAACAAAGTTTTAATTTTTTTATCTTTAACCTTCTATTTATAGCCTGCGGGATTTGTCACCCAAAAATCTAATTGAATGGACAAGTGTAGTAGGGTACAACAACCGCGCGTGTTTGTTCTCCTGGTGGATGCTGCAGGTGATTCACAGCTGATGAGTGCAAAGGGTGCTGGCAGAGTGTAAGCGCCGTGGGCGAGCGGGGCGGGCGGGGCGCAGATTGAGGCCACTATTTAACGGCACGGCCGCCGCGCAACGACCTGTTGTGATCCCGTCATGGCGCGCAACGCCCGTGTTGCTACTTTGGCCGCGTGTCTCTTATTCGCCTGCGGTGAGTCCTAACCTTTATTTTACGTCTCCAGAGGTCGTCCATCTCGCGACGTCACGAGTGACGTGACGTCACAGCAGCACATCTGCAAACATTTAGTGATTGCGTCAGTACCTAGTGCCGCAAAGTGAACAGTGAAGTTGCTCCTAGCTCAACCGTCGCAAGATAGACCGAGTCTCCATAAACTTTATGAATTCACGCAGCCGCACGCGACCGCCTTACACCTACCGATAGAAGATCTGATTACAACAACGCAAACCACATATCACCGGGCAAGAATCGTGGCTTATTCGAATGTGCCGATGAAATAAAGTAATTAAATTTTTATAAGTAGGTACGTTCTGTTTTCTAATCGTCATAATTCGGTGGTTTAATTAAGGGGACATACCGATGTTGCAAAATGTCATTGATTAAATATACTGTTCTGTAACAGTTCTTAAATATCCGGCACATTTGGAAACGACACGATATTGACGACAAGGATAAGGTCGTACAGCGTAAAAGTAAGCAGTTTTTGAACAGGATATTAGTCTCAAATATTTGAGATAGCGAAGCCGCTGGTTAGCACCTGTTACGGCTGTGCACTGCGGCTCAGAGAACTTTCACATTTGCTTGAAGTCGCGATTCGTCTGCGCCAGCGCTGGCGCCGCTTCTGACGTCAGACGCGGCGTGGGGTAGCATAGCGCGGGTGACAAACTTGTACCCAAACCCACATGACTGATTGAGAAATCCAGTCTTTTAGCTTTACGAATCATAAAATGATTATCTAATGCAATCTATTCGTACTTGCTTTATTTGGCACAAGTCACCCATATCAATGGCTGGTTTCCTTTAATTATTCTTATTACTTACACGTCTACAGCGTGAACGACGTGAATTAATGAAAGTATCAGAACTTATCAGAGAATTTATTATTGCATATTTACTTACGTAACGTAAGGTATGTAGGGTAGATATTATGCAAATGGATATCGTTAACCAATCAATGTAGTCAAATAAGTGCAATCACAAACTGCAACTAAGCCATAAAGAATGTAAGCTACCCAGTTCATTATACACCGGTTGGCTAACTACTCCAAGTAAGCCCTACATAGAGCAGAATCTTAATTTAATGATATTCATTGATCGCTGTCTGAGGAAGGATAATTAGCTCAGACTGGTTCAATTTACAAATAGTTCCGTACAGGTTTTGAGTATTAAAGTTACACAATGATAATAGTCAATCCAATTAGGTCGCAGAAAATTACATTGTAAATACACATCACATAGGGTCACACGTTCACACACAATATGATACTTGGTAATTTGTAAAAGAGTGTTCAGTTTCAATTTCATACACGTGCTACCAAGTAATCCTAGAATAGCTTTTTAATACGTAAAAACTTGTTCGTACATCCTGCGTGACTTCATACGCGTAATGCATGTAGTATTTTTTTATTAATTAGCAAACGTAACTGTTTATTGCTCTCTATTAATTTACTTCGGTTAACTTGAATTTGTTTTTTGTAAGCGTCGAAACATTGAAAAATAATAAGGTATATTTATCCCAACACATTAATAAGTAAAACTAAATATAAGCTCTACACAGTGTTTAGTAACAACAATAGTAGTGTGAGATAAAAAGGTCTGTAGCTCAGCACAATGGCGGAGTCTTTCTCAGCGCCTGATATTCTGCTACAGCCTGTCATGTTCATTAAAACTAAGTAAAAGGAGGATATAAGTAATTATTAAAAAAATACAATATCAAAGAATCTTCAAAAAATCGTAAAAACGTCAAAAGAATCTTAACAATGATAATTAATATACGGTAAATTATTAATAATCATGAAGATTTTCATCGCTATTTAGATGACCTTGACCTTAACATTGGCTTGAATATACTCATAGGAAAAGTTTACTTTGATGACCCATTACATTTTTTTTATTTTGAATAATTTATTAATAAATTCGAGTCTATTCATGCAATGTCCTAATTCGGTTAAACGTGACTGATTTCGATTGTGAAATCAAAGAATATAAAATATCGTAATTATTTTAACTCAATAATTTAACATTCCGAAATTCCGGTCTGTTTTTAATAGGATAGCACAAATTGTTTTCGTTTCGCTACGGGTTTCCAAATTTCTCTAACAGTAGTGAAAATAGAAACTCAAATGTTGAAACTCTATTTCGAATTCATTTCCATTCTACCCACGTGGGGTAAACGTTCTCAAAACTTCTTGGAGAAAATTTATATAAATCGTTTTTAATCATATTTGATAGCAATAGAGCTCCTTATTAGAAAGCTCGTCTAGGGAAGTACTGCCACCCTATTTATGCCGCTAAGCGGTCATGTGAGGAGCTTATGAAACTATAGGCATATGGGACTTGTCAACTTTGTCTCCAAGTGACGGGAGAGTGGCAGTGATCCTCAGGTTTTTGCAATTTAAAGCTCTGAGTGGCACTCCGGCTATTATGAGTAGGCGTATTACTTACCACCTATGACTTCTTCGCCCCATCATCAAATCATCATCAAAAACAAATCTAATATTTTTTTTTTACGAATCCAAGATTGTAAAGTGAGAAAGCTTTACCATTGTTCTATGAGTATTTTCACCACCATGATGTTTTGCAGTTACGGCCGTTCTTCTAGAACAGAATCGTTGTCTAATAAACTCAATTATCAACTAATGCATCAGTACTCATAAATTATCATCCTTACTAAGGCGTGCACTGGGTCGTGTTGTTTGCGTCAACAAAGTGAACGTTACGGTACTTCCACCTGCCGAAGCTCTATTTTCTCGATAGAGCCACCAGCGATAACGTAGTAGTTGCGTCGAAGGGAGCGTATGAGTAAATCCAAAGAAGGAAAGTCGAGAGACAGTGCTGCATATTCATAAGGTCGCAGTCGGCCCCTCAGCCGCGCTTCGGTATGCGAGTGGCGCGCCCGCCCGGTCGACGCCCGCGCTCATGCTTGGCACATAACTGTCTATTTGTCACCCCATTCGTATTCTAAAAGTCATTCTTAAAACCCTTTTTATGTGTTAACCGCTTTCGTAAATTTATTACTAACATTTCATAGTTCATTCGTCTTGCAAGCACTTACAAGTGCACCAACAATGTAGTTTTGCAGTTCAGCGCTTAATTACTTAATACAAAAACCATAAAATTGTTTCATAACTTCAATTATCGTCGAAAAGATTGCTAGTAACATTCTCTTTTTTGTTTTCAAATGCGTTTTAAGCGGTAATTCGCTGTCATGTCAAAACTCATAACATAACTGGCTGAAAACTTTAGGTTTGAATTTCCAGTTCTCAGTCTTAAAATATCTAAAAAGCAATTGTGACTAATACAGATCGACTCAATTGCCTGAAAATTGCAACCGTTTCCAATAAAACGTGATAGACGTAATTAAAATGCGATTGCTCAATTATTCTTACAAAAGATATCAACGCGCACATGCTAACCATGTTGAAGTACATTGGTGGATAACATACGAATTGAAAATAAACCGAAATCGAAACACGTTTCCAAATATTTTAAATCAAATTTATGCTTTGGCGTGACTTGTTGGTACACGTTTCGTTTTATGGAAGGGAAAGTTATCCGCGGAAATCGCTTTATTACTTAAGATAAATTGAAGAGCATAGAGAGATCAAATCCACATATTAATGTAGTCTCACAGAAGCAAACGCTTGGTAGATCCGGGTCAAAGAAAATTAGCTCTTATTAGTCATTCCGGCTGGTGACAAATATTTTTATGTTATGGCTCTATCTACTTGGTTATTCGGCTTTAAAACCATTTAATTTTAAAACCTTCAAAGTTACAAGTCCTAAGTTTTCGCTTTTAAATTACATAAATGTATTTAAGACATTTTGACTACTTCTGAACAATGTGCATTTGGGAAAATCTTTAAGAAAATAACTATCGTCCAAAATTTGTCGTAAATTGTTAGCAGGTATTCCGTATCCAGTAAAAGTACGCACTCAAGGCAATTGGCTAACAATTTGAAATAAATTTCATAAGCAGTCAGGTTGAGTTTCGCTTGTTTTGTGGCAGGTATAATTGAAGCGTGTAATAAATAAATTGATGGCGGTGCAGCGAGTGTCGCAACTACCCAGGCAATAGACAATAAGGGAACAAACAATAAGATACAGACATGTGAGCGCGTCGTGTGCTAATGTAGCGCAGCCACTGCACCGTTGACCCCGGCGCAGGCGCACGAAGCGTGCCGCGCGATGATGCGTGACTGCGGATCATATTCTGAAAAAACTGTTTTCCTTCTATTTTTGCAATAAAACTGCAAATAAAATAAAAATTTACTGAATTGTGTCTTAGTTACTTAATCTCTGAAAGTTGCGCGTTTTATCGTAAGGTACAAATTTATGTGGCCTGTGGTACAAGGCACCAATATTCCAAATCATTTACGCTGAGGTCGTTCAAAGTTGTAATACTTTACACCAAAAATAAATTTTGTTACTTATCGTATCATTTTAGGTAGGTCATTATCAGCAGACGGCTCTAGTTGAGATCGGTAGAGGTGCGGCTACGTCTGGCAAGCAAGTTAGATAATGCTGCGATAACTTCGTTTCCTCGTGTTACGTGCTCATTGCGCCCATGCATACATGCATCTATTTCTTACTGCGTGTTAGGTTAACATTATCTAAGCAAAAGTTCTTAATTGGCAAAAAGTTACAATATGCGCTATGATTTAACCTATATTCAACAGTGAGAACATGGGTCTACTAGTGGATTTCAACTGTGTGCATAACATTGTTTCTTTTATATGTTTTGTAGAGTATGCCACACTCATTGCATGAGATCATGGATCTGGAGTAAAGTCATATAGTAGTGGTTTAGTAATTATTGTATTTGTAACTTTGAATTTACTGATATAGATTGTTAATTCAAGGAAATCAACTATTTAGTAACCTTATTGAATTATAATAATTCCGACAGGTTAACCCCTTGCACAAACGCATCAAAGGCCATGCATAATGTACTAATCGTAGCCAGAAGAATATACAAACAGTCGTCCTTGTCTCTTGCTTAAGCGCTGACATTTTAAACTTAACCAAATGTCGTGCGCTCGCCCAACCTTTGATATTTACGCTTTTAAATGACATTTAATTCTAATAAGAAAAATAGTAAGCAAAAAATTACGAGCAAATTATAAAATCGTGATCGCATGATCGTAGTCTATTCGTAGTTTCTTAATGACCTGCTCGATATCTTAGTATCATAAAAACTGTACTCATAGTACTATTGTAACCATAGCTACATGAAGTAATTATAACTTTTTTATAAACAAAACCGACCTCAAAAGTTCGTCGTATTACATGTATTTGCCAAGTTTTATTGAAATCGGTTACCGGGAAGTGTGTGAAACTGGGTTCGTCCCCTAGTTTACCACCCTTCGAGGTGAAATATTTTCTTCAAATTTAAATGAGACCAATACTGACGTACCCTCCTTTCAGCAAAAAATAATCATCATAATCGGTTCACAAATATCGGAGTAATCGCATAACATACACAAAAAGAAAACACAGTTGAATTGTGAACCTTCTTCTTTTCGATTAATAAAGTAATTTTTATTTAAAAAAAAAGGAAACGTCTTCTTATATGTACCTACAAACCGAAAGTAAAAAGTTAACACTGAGTTATCGGAAATTGCGCGAAATCGGTTTCATCCCCTAGTTTGCCACCCTTATAGTTGGAATATTGTCTTCAAATTTAAATGTGACCAATGCTGAGGTACTCTCTTTCGAATAATAAAATAATCATCAAAATCGGTTCACAAATGCAATGTAACATACACAAAAAACTGTCGAAATGAGAACCGCTTTCCTTTTTTTGAAGTCGGTTAAAAATAGTACGTCTGAGTTATATTCTTTCCACTTTTGTAAGACGTTTAACAGTACCAGCAAATAATGTGAATGTTTTTGAAATTAATTTATATGTTTGTGGTAACACGGGTTATAAAAATGTTACAAGGATTCATTTTGGATTACAAAGTTTTTATAATATTTATATCTGTTTGTCCAGCGGTCGCCGAAGGGCACCGATGGCGGCGGCAGGCGGACGACTCAGCCAAGAAAGACGACAGCCTGGAACAAGAGCTATGCAAGGACAAGGACGCTGGCGAGTGGTTCCGGCTGGTAGCCGGCGAGGGCGACAACTGCCGCGACGTCATACAGTGTACCGCCTCGGTAAATATCTAACAGCACTTTCATACATATCTACTCCCTTTTAAAGATACGCGCACAGAGCATAATAACAAACTGCGTTTATTTATATACGATCTACTATAATACATTGGCGACTACAGGTACAACAATCTCTCAGACTGCAATCTTGTTATATAAAAATTTTATTCATCCAATCTCGTATACTGTGATTTTCCAACTGTATTTGTTGCTCAACTTTGCATTTATTCCAATGAGTTTAAGAAATATTTGCTCAATAACGCTATTACAGTAATAATTTTTCTCTGACTTTGATAACTCCCATTTTCATCTAAGTTCCTACGAATTACAAAACAGAGTGAATAAATATACCTCAAACAAGTACATACACAACTCTCTATTTACACCTCAGTTCTGCGGAATTTGACAGTAGCTTATTCTTAAAATGATATTGAACAATTATAATTGAAAATCTAAAAGAAGCGAAGGCCACCACAAGGTGATCATCAAATTAAAGCACACCTCGACCTGTCTATCACAAATCAAATGACATTACTAATAATCATAATAATTTTGAACAAATAAGCCTTTCCTTTGTAAATCGCATCAAAGACCTTGTCCTTGATGCATCGCGTCACCTCCCTTCACCTATCTTTTTATATTTCCGTTTACTTGTATAAATTATATTTTTATTACAACGATAGACATAAAAACAAAAGTATTGTTTAGCCTTTTCGTTTTACACACTTGGATTTATATAAAATGTATACACATTTCAGATCTAACTACTCATTATGAAAGGTTACTGATATATTGTATGATATATTAAGGTTACTGATAGATATAATTATATTTCATTTCGCAACAGGGAATTCAAGCCATTCGTTGCCCGGCTGGATTGTATTTCGACATCGAGAAGCAAACTTGCGACTGGAAAGACGCTGTTAAAAACTGCAAATTGAAGAACAAGGAACGTAAAGTGAAACCTCTGCTCTACACTGAAGAGCCTCTGTGCCAAGATGGCTTTTTGGCTTGTGGAGATTCCAACTGCATTGAACGCGGACTATTCTGTAACGGAGAAAAAGACTGTGCTGATGGTTCTGATGAGAACTCATGCGGTACGTATCTTTACATTCAGTGCGTCCACGTAATATTCCCCGAAAAGCTATTTTGAAACATACTCTCAACCTAAATTCAGACAAAACAAAAAATTTCATATTTCTAAGTACGCACTTATTATCGTAACAGGAACGTTATGTTTCGTATATTTTCTAAGTGTGTACTTAGAAGAGATATGAAACATAGCCAGCTAAAATTATAACGCGCAATTGAACTTGAACGTACTTTTCAATAAGAACAGGCACATGAAGCGTGACGAGCCGAACTGCCTGAACTGCCAATCACTTGGCCTAAAAAAACATCTCAATGCTATGGCGCAACTCCTCTAAACAAATAGGGTGTTCAAAATTTGTTTCATTTCATTAGCTATTTCACACATCATTAGAGCAAATCACATATATTTTCAAGTTTGTTACCACCTATCAAAATCCTGACGTTGTGCTTACGAAATCTGTAAGAAATCGTATAAACATTTTGTTTATTGTTTTGAGTATTTTAATTTTTTTTATTTTCTTGTTCCTCCAATAAGAAATCACTTTTTCGTTATAAAAGCTACACAAATAAAATACGCAGTAGATGTCTAGTTGACCTTACTGTTGGCTACTAGTCAGTATTCACCACGCAGCTTAGCCGTCGCTACTCGATATAAACAACATGAGTAAGTGGTTTTTTGGATCGTTACATGACTTCAAATCAAATAAACATCGTTGTCAAGCTGCGTCTTAGAATAACAATCATCATCTTAAAATAAATGTACTTAAATATAAGATGTGGTCGCAAATGAAGATAAAAATAATTTAAATTATTCGAGATGTATCTAAGTTTGTTTTTCGTCGGACAACTTTGTACATCAGAAATAACAACTTTTTATTCGTCAGTTACATAATACGGGTGCACAGATTTATAACTTGGAATGTGATTCGGTCGTTATGATTCTGTACCTACACAGTGACATTGAGTCAAAAAGTGAAACCCAAACGGAACAAGTATCAGTTGTGGCAATCGATTTGATCGAGCGAAAGTACCCATACTGGTTTCGACTCTCCCTCAACGTCTCATGTGCATACTATGATTGCGCCCACGCGAGTCATTTCTCGACAATGTTTAATACTAACTTTGCTAAATACTTACGATTTTATTTCCCATATTTTGTTGTAGACATCGACAATGACCCCAACAGGGCTCCGCATTGCGATCCCTCGCAGTGCGTGCTGCCTGACTGTTTCTGCTCAGAAGACGGCACGGTCATTCCCGGCGACCTCCCATCCAGAGATGTACCCCAGATGATCACCATCACTTTTGACGACGCTATCAACAACAACAACATTGAGCTCTACAAAGAAATATTCAATGGGAAGCGCAAGAACCCCAACGGTTGCGATATTAAGGCGACTTTCTTCATCTCCCACAAGTATACCAACTATTCCGCAGTTCAAGAGACGCATCGTAAAGGACACGAAATCGCCGTCCACTCTATCACGTAAGCTATTGAATTAATATTTATGCACATATCTGGACGGAGCTGTTCACAAGACCTAAAACTTAATATTAATTGAATTCTTTTTTGTTCTTAGGCACAACGACGACGAACGTTTCTGGAGCAACGCAACTGTCGATGACTGGGGCAAGGAAATGGCCGGCATGAGAGTTATTATCGAAAAGTTTGCAAACATCACTGACAACAGCGTCGTCGGAGTTCGCGCTCCTTACTTACGTGTCGGTGGGAACAATCAATTTACTATGATGGAAGAACAAGCTTTCCTTTACGATAGCACCATTACTGCCCCTTTGTCCAACCCTCCTCTATGGCCCTATACTATGTACTTCCGCATGCCACACCGCTGCCATGGCAACCTGCAGAGCTGCCCTACTAGGAGCCACGCCGTGTGGGAAATGGTAATGAACGAACTCGACCGTCGCGAAGACCCTACCAACGATGAGTACTTGCCGGGTTGCGCTATGGTTGATTCATGCTCCAACATTCTCACTGGAGATCAGTTCTACAACTTCTTGAACCACAACTTCGACCGTCACTACGAACAAAACCGTGCCCCACTGGGTCTCTACTTCCACGCCGCTTGGCTCAAGAACAACCCTGAATTCTTGGAAGCTTTCCTGTACTGGATCGATGAAATCCTTTCTAGCCACAATGATGTGTACTTTGTTACAATGACTCAGGTTATTCAATGGATCCAAAACCCAAGGACTATCTCAGAAGCCAAGAACTTCGAGCCCTGGAGGGAGAAGTGCTCTGTTGAGGGCGTACAGGCCTGTTGGGTGCCTCACTCGTGCAAGCTGACATCGAAGGAGGTTCCCGGGGAAACAATCAACTTGCAGACGTGCGTAAGGTGCCCTGCCAACTACCCATGGCTTAACGATCCCACGGGCGACGGCCACTATTAAATGCGCCAGATCTCGCGCCTCACGCGCTCTACTAGTTGATAAATAAAATGAGATGAGTGATTGAATTACACGACAAATACATTCGGAGCGTCTGAAATGCTCATTACTAGTTTTGATAGGACGTTATTCGATCGTAGCTTTGAATGTGCTATCGTGTAATTTTAAAGTGTACCGGGTTATAATCCCGTCTGTAGTCTAAGTGCCTACCTATATGTAATATAGACTCACATAAATATTTAATAGGTCTGTTTTATACTTTGTGTGATTTTTTATGTAAGTCTGTTTGATAAATTTAAAAATACAAAATGTAAAAATCGACTAAACTCGTTTTCATTTACCTTATTCAATTATTCACCTTTATCCTGAAGTAAAATTAAAAGAAGATTTACATAAAATAGGCAAAACCACCATGAAAAATAAGAAATACCCTTCTATACAAGTTTGATGTACTAATAGTTATTTGATATGTAAGGTTGCAAAGTTGTTGTTTGACGGGAGTGCTTGTATTGAAACCTGAGCAAGTGAAGGACCCTAAGTTGAACCACGAGCGAAGCGAGTGAGCGAAAAACAGAACCCTGAGCGTAGCGAGGGTTTCCAAACGACGAGGCGGAAAACAACTTTTGCTGTCGAGCGAAACACAACTTTTTGCCTCCCTATAATGAGGAAAATGGTAGATAAAAGAAAAACAGTTGAACTATAACAAATCAATTTTATTCATTCATACATCAAAAATTAGTTATCGTTGTCAATTTAATGTCAACAATAATAAGAAAAAAATATACCAACGGATTTAAATTACATAAACAATGTACGACAAAGTGCGTAGTTGAACGTGTCAACTGTCTGTATGTTTTTTTTTCATCAAAAGAAAAAGTTAGGTGGACCACAGTGCATCGTCAAGTACGAATTTCAAAAAACTTTTCTACGCTCAACGGAAAAAACGCTTTGAACGAAACGCGCAGATTTCTAATGAGGAAGAAAGCCTTTCCGAGCTAGTGAGGTGTGTAAATATATGTATCAAGAAAAAATCACAAACAAAACAAACTATAAACTGAAAAGAAAAGCAGTCAAATATTTTTCTAAATTTAATAAAGTTTTGCAATGGTGAAGGAGTAAGCATTAATTAAAGACACATAAGGTTTGGAAGAGAACATAATACACCCTAAGTTTCTGCTGCCTTACACAATTCATAACTACATACAAAGTTAAATCACATAAACACAAAAAGTACGAGGATAATAGTATACAGTCATATTTTTGAAAATATAATTAACTATAAATATCGTGAAATACCGACTACAGGTGTAACGAGTAGGTGACAAAGCAAGATGTAACGCGTATATTTAGACTTTTACTTAAGAAAATCAATAAAAACGTTCCAATCAAAAGATTCAAAATGAAAGTGTGACTAAATCGCTTGATATTTCTATTGTTGTAACTTTGAAATCGGAGACGAAGTCAATAGGTACTATTAAATTCCAAATGTTGAAATAAAACTTAGTAAATAATTTTAAGACAAAAACGCGATAAGCGAACAGTACCTACAATATTTTGTCAAATGTACATATATGTACAGTCAAGAGCACATCAAGCATGACACTTTGGACATTGGACCGTTCTTATTGCAAGCGACATAGAGTTAAATTCAAACCTTTAGTGTCAAGTTTGACGTGCTCTTGACCATGTACATACCTAAATAATGCTTTATATCGCTACTCAAGAAAACGCAAGCACATTATTCATCATAAAAATAACTTAACTTTTGTCATATAGCTACTTACACTAAAATACAATAAATACGATGCCCGATGTAATATTGCATGGCACTCCTCTGAAAGAGTTACTTTAATTACCTAAAGTGCTTGATCTCTGAGTCTTTAAAAGGCAAATTATGTTAGAAAAAGAGAGCACAGGGTGCTAACAACGAGGGGCAACATGTTGGCCCGTAGGTTTGCGAAGTGTACGATGACTTTAAGATAACGTTACTCAAAGTCACGACAGGTAGTCGTGATATCGTGATATGGGACCAGGCTAGACGCGACAGTCGTCCAACGATAAATAAATCTGAAGCGTAAAATTAGTGACAGCGATAACCGCCTGTTGAGTACCAGTGCATTCAGAGTCCAGAGTCGTTTTAGAGCACTAGACCCAAATGCATATTAAAGTTTATAAAAAATATTAATTATTTTTAATAGTGATACTATTTTCACGTGTTGTATTTGTAACTCTTTGTGTCTGAATATTTTATACCAAATGAAAAAAAAATTATTTCATTTAAAATAAATTGAGCCGTGAGAGCCTAATGGTTTGACCTCACGCCTCTCAAGCAAAGTCCGTGGGTTCGAAGCCGGGCTCGCACCTCTGAGTTTATCGGAATTTATGTGCGAAAGTGAATTTCAAATGTACCCTGCGCTTTTCGGTTAAAAAAAACACACATCGAAGAAGGTTCACAACCCTCGGAAAACGTGTTAAATCCCCAACCCACATTGGGCCAGTGTGGTGAGTTGTGACCTAAACCCTCGCCTGAGAGGCCGGTGCCCAGCAGTGGGACACATAAATGGTTTGACGATTTAATACAAAATGTATAAATTTTCCCGTACATTTAACATGAAGCTGCAACGAAGTTTATTTAAAATATTTTAAAATATTCAACACATCTAACATTGCTTAGGGATTTAGGAACCGTATAAACACTTTCAACATTTCAAAGACTGGTGAAATCTATTACAAAATCATTTCATTATTATCTATTCTACATGTGACGTAACAGTATTTATGCAAAAGCAGGAATATCTCCCTAAATCTTCTTTTCCTCACTCACTTGTAACTGAACACAGCAAAGATCTAATTCAATAATATCAATAAATCATCAAATAAACTAAAATCTTACTTAGTTTTTAAAAGCGAACATTCTCTACTAATGGTCGTGTCTTTTTTTAGATATGAATGTCACACATTGATAAAACGAGTTTGACCACTTCCAGCTCTAAATATAATGTGTTAAACCGAAATACTTGGTATCTTAAAGAACAGCTGAAAAATTTACCTAATGTAATTTACGACAATTAACCAGGAGAGTGACTAAATGGGAAGTGGCCCGGTTTGTTTTGACTGATGGTACTTATTTAACAAATTCCTTATGTTATTGTTTAATTTATTTAACAATTAGATGGTATTTATTTAACACTCATATTCAATCTACATATTCATACTGTAATAGTCGACTTAAAGATCGCTAAGACTGGAAAGGGAAATTTTGTGCCAAAATAATGTGAGAGTCAGAATGACGGGAGTGCCTTAAAAAGATCCTGACAAATTTGGTATCAAAAAAATGTACCTAAATTGTACTATTTGGTACCAAATTTCTCAGGATTCGTTTAAATGCACGAGCAAATTAGGCTTATTTCTCAGAAACTAACGAGCAGATCGAGCTGGAGTTCCTTTTGCTTTAGAGTACTATTATAAAGGTAAAATTTTTTGATATAATAAGTTTTTATAGCTATTAAATAAAATCTGGTAATTTGAGGTACACCCGCCATATTGACTGTCAATACCTTTGATATTGCTATACATCGATCTGATGGAGGTACAATTTTTTTGAACACAAATACTAAATAGTACAATTTAGGTACATTTTTTTATACCAAATTTGTCAGGATCCATTAAGGTACACTCACAAGTCTGACTCTCACAAAATAACCGGTGATTAAAATAAGTTAAGTTTAAAAAAGTTTAAAATCTTCAGATTTACGACGACGAAGTACAATTTTGATTAAAACTTAAATTTGCATAAAAACAAAGCTTCTAATTATTCACACAATGTTGATTTTGGTCCAATGTTTAGATATTTTGAACTATATACGCAATATGATAATTTTGATGCTGATTGTAGTCGTGCGATTGAATGCCTGAATCAAGTGATCGAGAGCCTTCCCGTCTGGGCCGAGTCATTGCTCTTACCAAGCACTTAAATTACACACACGCAAATATCTTATCCCAACAAAATCAAGCACTTGGACACTAATGTATGCAAACAAAAAGCAAAAACTCTTGCCGAGGGTATTGACCGTGCTCAACAGCTCGTTGTGTCCAGTATTGGATATTTGCACATTATTTGTGCATAATAAATACCTCATTTTCTTAGAGAGCTTTTTAAGACAAGAGATGCATGGTCATAATAACGATTACTCAGGCTGCCGCTCATAAACCAATAAGGTTAATTACTTAACAAGAAGCTTAAGTGAGTATAATCGATGATTTCACAACACTGTTCGCAGAAAAAAGATGAAACAGTCATGTATTTAATAACCTTCAATGCAAGTTGACACATTACCTCGGCGTGTTGTGTACCAAGCAACCTGTGATACAGACAATAGCGCGCGGGTCGCGGCCGGCCACCAACACTCTATTCTCCCTTGGCTGCTGTAGGCGGGTTGCACATCATCACCTTCAGCCATCTGCATAACGCCAGCGCCAGAACGAACTTTCCATTCAGTTAAGCAACACAGAATGTATGAGCAGGAATAAATAAGGACAATGAAAATCAATTGCATTGTTAACGGCATCTAAATAAATAGAGAGTTGTTGTCGCGTTCGGCGCAGAATATTAGGTATGGCTTGAAGAAGCGCAAAGCAGCCTACGAGAGTGAAAGCAGTGAAAGTGCTTTTCTGAATGTGGTCGTCACTGCGGCATTCTTTGTACTCTATCAAAATGTCATTTTCAACGTTAATGCATAATTTGCGATATCTACGGGCGTACTACTCAATTTCTAAAAGTAATAAGAGAAAAATAGAAGATATCAGGTAATCAGCATGTACGAATTGTACGTGAACATAACACTTCCTTAGAAATCGATGTTTCAGGAAGTACGCTGAATCTATGTGTCAATGGTAACGGCTAGAGCTCATTATAAATTGCAAATTTTGAGAAAGGTGCAATGTCAGACGACGAGGTCGAGTGTGACTGATTAGACCTAAGCATTTTTCCTGTATAGGCAAGTGAAGTCTGATCAGGAAAAACAACAGGTAGCTACTATCGGTAATTTTGTACCTTCCCTCAATATTTTATGCAATAAACAAGAAAACGATCTTTTACTCTCACCCTGTATACTTTTGGAAATACAGCCAGATTAAAAAAAAACACGTATTCCAACGCTAAATCGGGATACAAAAAAACAAGAATGTACAAAAAGTTCTAGACAGTAATAAGTTTAACGGCTCCAATGACGACAATAAATAAGCATTTAAAACAACTGCACAATAATATTATTAAGTGTATTTGCTTTTTAATTTGAACTGTACTGACACTTAAAAGTGCTGACATAGGTTATCTATACGTACTAGTAGGCGAGTATAGGTGTACGTATTGTCGTAAGTGAAAGGAAATATCTTGAAGGATCCTTGACTCGTGCGCGCCTACTCATGCCTCGGCCGTGCTGCGCCTCCACCGCCGCCATCGCTAGCCGTCGCGCCATAGCGCTGCACGGAACTTGTGCCGTGAAGTTCTTGATGCATCAAGAAACTTCGCTAATTTACATATATGCTATATATATTCAGTATTTAATGCATATGTTACAATAAAAAAATAATAATGTGATGACATGCACATCTAAAAGCAGAAACTTAACATAATGGATTTGCTTATAAAATTTTTGACAAAGATTCAGAATGAGGCATGAAGTAGTAATAAAAACAAACAGCATTAGAAAAGCGTACTAATTGTACATTAAACATTTCACTTTTGACGAATCAGTGAGAAGAGACTTTTAGAATCGTGTCTATGAATAGTTCTTAGCGAGCAGTTAACAGAATGTTTGTACTAAATCATCTTTGTGCACATCAACGATAGTATTAATTCTGCATAACAAAAACTAAGTAAAACGTTAAAATCTGCAGACGAAAAATTATAGGTAACTTTAAGAAACATAAAAACCGAAAGTAATAATTTTGACCTATGCATAATTGCGGCGCGAATTCCGTCTTCATCAGTCAGTCATCTTTAGTAAACACAAAAAGGCAAGAAGAAGTGGGTCTAGTAATCAGGTCGAATGTGCACGTAACAACTGCATATCAACAAGCCGGGTTAAATGTTAAATCATCGTAAAGTTTCGTAATGAGCGCATCTCGCGAACGCACAAATGTCTAGGACCGCCCAAACAGATAGGCATGTCATTTTACAGGTATACATAAAACTTATTTATTGCCTTGTCTTGGCGTAAAACGTAATGTGCTATAATCGTAATCTACCGGAACTCAAGTGAAACTACTGTTCATTTATTAAGTCGATCTGCAATCGCGACAGTAATTTTTATTTCCTGGCGTAAACGGATATATACCTATTTACAACAACTACCTTATCTACGAGCATGTGAAAGGTTCACAAACAATTCTGCGTTCGCATCACGTTGATGTCTTTTGTACGGAATGTCCGGGCGCTTACGCCGAATGCATATAAAAGACATCAATGCGAACCCCAAAATGGGTCAGTATTTTTATTAGAAAAGTTATTTAAAGTATAGTAATAATCGTAACGTGTTTAATAACGATGCTCATTGTGCCGCCAGAGAAGAGGTCAATAGGTCGCAATATTTTGGCGAGAGGTCGCCAATGCAACAAGAAACGAGACGAATCATACAAAACGTGGTGGCAAGTTACGATAATGTCGCTGGTGTGCGTGCCGGACGCCCAGTCTCGTTCCTCGAATTGTTACATAATTTGAAGCACCCGGATACAGCAACAAGGCCACCCGTGCTACACTTCAGCTCAAATTTAGTTGCAGTCGCCCCACAAACAAATTAGATAAATAATTCTATTATGTAGGTATACATCGTACATATAATTAGTATAGTGTTTCACAAATACGGACAAGAAATATGTAACCGGTTTTAATCCCTTTGAAGGCCTCACATGATTTTATTATTCGTAACGTTTACTTTGTTGAATAAAATGGTATAAAGGGATTGTAAGAAGCTTGTTAATGTATAGATTTTGGTGTTGATTTCATTGTTAGTGTAGTTTGCACGCCAACATCACTTTGAAGCCCACAAGTTTCAATACGTAAGGTTATCAAAACCAACTTAAGTTACATGTACGGGTTGACGTCATTTCACGTAAACGTTTACGTTTTTTTATCAACAATAACATCAATAAATTTCAGAATAGTTTTCTCTACCAAATTACAGTGGCCATTTTTATTAAGTATTCGAGTAAATTATTGTGAATTATAAATAATATTTTGGGTTATTACACTCGAATTTCACGATACATATTGTACAATATTTAAATTACAGAAATTGCCACCGAAAATGGTACCGAAAACTAACCTGCAAAAACCCCTCATACGCGTATTATCCGGATCGTATTTCCTCTATTTGGGTGTGGTGCGATGTCCAATTTGTATTACTTACTCCAGGCCTAATCGCTAGAGACACCTCGTCATCATCAGATTGTCAGTTTTCACGAAGACAATTGCACAAAAGCAATAAAATAACAATTTTTATGTTTCAAACCAGATTATGTTTTTTTTTGGGATTTAAGGAATAATTCAAAAAGTACTCAAAAGTATTCCTTTGCCCAAAATGTTAGATTTATAACAAAGAACTTTATGGAACAATCCCGATTTTTTTTTTATATTATAAAAATATGTCTACTCGTATCATTCAGCATTCTCATCTAGTGATACACACTGTTAGTCAAAGACGAATAGGTTTAATTAAAATTTGTCAATGTCGTGTAGATGTGGAACGGGTCATCTTTAATCACTAAACCTGATTTAGTGATTTACATATAAGGGTATTATTAAAATTATCACCGATATTACAGCTTCTGCAAACTAATTCACATGACATTAAGTTACTCTAGAATAGTAGTAACTTTAAGTAAAAAATCATTGAAATGAATTCTTGAGAAGCATTATCTTGTACAAATTTTTTAGGGTACCGTCTTTATTTTTCTTAGTATAAAACACATGCGAACTGTCAGACTTGAGGACAAAGGTCACGGCCTGTCTCAAGGTTACGAGACATTATCTTGGATGTGGATTTCCTAGAACTAAATAATTTCAAATTGTAAAAAGTCTAGTAGGTAATGGTCTATTAGTTTAATTTTAACTTTAGTTTTAACTGCCTCTGTGGCCGAACGGTTACCGGACTGCCACGCAGAGGTCCCAGGTTGGATTCCCAGGTCGGGAGAAATATTTGTATGGCCTACATTTATTTCTCTCGTGAGTTTGGTTATCAATGTGTGTGTCCATGGCACCCGCGACACAGGGTTTCCCTAGTGCGGAGCTATTGTGTGTGTGTGTGTGTGTGTGTGTGTGTGTATTTATTATTTTCATAAACTACACTCGAAAGTTACAGTTTCAAAACATCTTGTTGTAAGATCTTGGAAATGTTAATATATTCAGAGGTCACGATGCCATTATGCGTCAAATACAGTCTAACAAAATAATGTTAATAGTCAAGGCTAATAAATTGTATCTGCAAGTTTTAACCTTTGCTTATTAACATGTTTCAAACGAATATCCCTATCCAACTTATACAAAGTTTCGAATATTTGATAGCAGGTCTAAAGTAACGAATTCCATTAAATAAATGTCACCAGAAAACCTAAATATACATTAGCAATCCATAAATAATAATGGACAGTAGTTGTTGGCCTAAATGAAACTGGTCTTTTTATTACAACACCATCGTTCTCGAGTGTCTACTTTGAGCACTAGAAACTAGCGAATAACTATCCAAATTTTTTCCTAAACCTAAAAATAAACGTAAAATATAATAAACCAACAGTAACCACGTACTTTGTAGGTACAGTACAGCTACTCTTGTTCCCTATTCATGCTATTTAGTACTGTAGGCCTTGAAACTTTTAAATGTATACACTTTGGAATGGAAACAAAAACAGAAAACATGAAAACGCACAAATTACATGACATAGTACATTATGGAGAGGAGACCTGCGTATGGTAATCACGAAGTGGACAAAAGGGCATTTATATGTCGTTGAAAAGAGGTCAAGGTACTGATAAAAGGTACCGACAAGGGCCGGCTTTTCTGAGAAAACATCTACCACATCTACATACATAACATAAAAAGAACTTTAGGCACTCTGATGTTACAAGGAAAAGGCTTATTTTCGTAAAGAAAAAAATCTGAAGTCAGCCATGTCAGACCAGAAGTATACGAGGTTTTTGTTTTCAATTCTACCAAATTAAATTTAGTAAAACATAAACAATAAACAATACCTTCTACGACTACTTATACAAAAAAATGAGAGAAGGAAACCAGTCAGCACTTGCACAAATTCCTAATTTATCGGTAATTGATAGAAAAAATATTCTTGGAGAAAGTTATAGGTAATTAAATTAAGTATCATTAAAAACATGTAGATCCTTAGACCATCGTGACGTTATTAAAGGCAGTGGTTGTTGTGTTAGGGTTTATATTATTGTAGGGCGCAGTTGGCATAAGACGGGCGGTGTCTGCTGGTGTCTCGCGAGGTGCCTGGTTATATAAATAGGTGAAGAGGGGCAGCGGAAACCTCTTGCACTTTCTTGGCGGCGCGCGACGCAGAGACCAGTCCTCACCGAGCGCCATGGCTCGACACGCGTATTTGTGGCTTGGTGTTTTGATTCTCGTCTACTCCAGTGAGTACCCCTACTTGTAACTTTTAAAATGTTAATGGATACCAATTTGAATATTGTGTACAAATACAATATTACGAAAAAATGTAATTACGATAGAATATTCTTGTTACATAACTTTTTCTTTATAGACTTTTAATTAAATTATTTTATTTTTTGGTACTGATTTACAAACACGTCGTGAAAATGTACGTAAATTGAATACAAAAAATATTTTAAAATTAAAATTTTAAAATTAATCTCAAATCTCGATTATTCTGATCACAACGTCGGTCGCAGAAGTAATACACAAGTCTATATAAACTTTTTTGTTAGATACCGCCTGGGCCCGGCTACGTAACTAGCTACGAAACTTTCATAATTTAACGATATTTTATTTTAACTACAGCATATAATTTTTTGGAAGTGGTTCTGTTTTGGAAATTTGTACTTCGTTAGAAATTGCTTTTAAATTAGCAAATCAAGCTTATGTATCGAACTGTGTTCGAGCGTAGTCAATCGTCCGCCAGGCGCTACCTACGTGGCTGAGTTGGCTCGCTTTGACCTCGATTTCTTTTCAACGTTTCAACTTTCAATGCCGGCACTAGCGACTTACGGAACCAGCTGCAACTTGCAGGGCTCATACAAAACAGGCTTTAAAAATAAACACACTTTTCCGTCTTGCGGCCGAAAACTCAGTCAGCGTGAATTTTTCTTTTACATTAGCACCATTCTAACTCATTGAACCCGGTTTTGTAATAAAGATAATTAGCCAAGGCAAAATATAAGCCACGTACAAGTAATGCGCGGAACGGCATTCGGCGCCGCAATAAAACGGTACTACATTCCTTCACCCGGTGTGTTGTAATCGTTTCTTACGCTAAGCAGCGTTACCTAATGAGCATGTTAAGCCTGTTTGTAATGCCTCACTCCTTGTTCTTTAAAACTATTTCTGCTCAGGTATCACGAAGTATATTGTCACGCTTTGAAACATAAAGTGCATATCGTGGCGTGGCGTGGAGTGCGAACCACGTCGGCAATCGTTTCTAGATGAACTTTGACATCCCTGAGATATAATTTCATAATTACAATGGCATTTAACGATTTTCTAGTGGTAACTTCGACTTTATCGCCAGTCTCATAAATAGTGGGAACGTGTTCACAATCCCTCCTTGGAGTCAAGGTAGAGACGGTTCGACTGTGCGAAACGCAGCAGCAGGTACCGTAATGTGAAACAATCTTGGGGACAATAGAATGTAGAAAATAATACACTTAGCTATGGCAAGAATTAAATATTGTTTAATGTATAATGATTAATGAATTCACCTGGCAATTACAGTCAGTGGAGAGACGCGAGTCAAGCGGCAGGAGGAGGATGCGCCCACAGACGACGTGAATGCCGAGCAGCTATGTGACGGCAGGCCAGCCGAAGAGTACTTCCGACTTACCACTGAAGGCGACTGTCGCGATGTCGTCAGGTTAGACATTATCTATATAAAACCTTATGTGGAGTATTGCAAAACTTGCAGCTCATCATAAACCTCATCAACCCATATACATCTCACCGCTGCCGCTGGGCTCGGATCTTCTCTAAAAGACGGTAAATCTTCAGATATTTTAATAAACTCATGTAGACATGTTTATGAAATAAAATGAAATATTTATTAACAATGAAATTCACAGCTCCAAATGACCTTATGTAATCATGAAATTGAATAGAAAAGAACTTACAAACAAAGATTACGGTTATTAAAATCGAAAATTAAGTTACACATTGGCGAAAGTGAAATACTGAAGTTAAGACAGCAAATATTGTAATTGTCTTCTGCCCAATGTATGACAGAATGTTTATATTTATTTACTTAATAATAAAAAATGTTATGACAAAGTCATAATAATTACCAGCGGGCCCCGTACTAAGCTCTAGGCTTGTATCGCGGGATACAAAATGGAAAACTTCATTTCTATGTGTGTCTATAAAAATCAAACCGTTATTATTTAATTTGGAAAGAATATTTCATTAGTAGAAACTATATTGTTGAATTGAATTATAATACCTCTACAAAATAGAAACCAAGGTTGAACTACATAGCAAGAACGTATTTAGGTGAGTTTCCAGGCAACAACAACTTGTTTAAATACAGCTCGATTACTTTTTGCCACATTGTTATACACCTCATTTCGCACCCTGAGTAATAATGTGACGTATTATAATTCAAAAAGTAACATTTTTGAGATTGACAACCGACCGACTTCAAAAAAAGGAGGTGGTTCTCAATTCGACTGTATTTTTTTTATGTATGATACGCGATAAATCCGGTGTTTGTGAACCGATTTTGGTGATTCTGTTTTTGTTGGAACGAGGGTACCTTCATAGTGGTCCCATTTAATTTTGAAGAAAATCATCCACCTCTAAGGGAGGCTGTTCACGTATGTAAATTCATTTTTATTAATAGCGCCTAAATTTTATTATAAGGAGCAATTATTCTAATGGTTGGTTTTGCTATTCTCCAATTCAAGGTATTTTTCTCTCTCAACATACTTTGAGTCGTGAGAATCGATCTTTATTATCTCCTGTGTCAAGTTCCGTATGTGGCGAACCAGGGGATGAATCCGGGTTTTCGCACTTTCCGATAACCGATTTCAATAAAACTTGGCAAATAGATGTGATTCCACGTACTTTTGAGATCGGTTTTCTTAGTACTCTGTACTGAGATTATTTTGTTTCAATTTCGTCACTTTCCCAAAAAATACTTTTCGAATTGTGTCACTTTATTATTGAGGATGAGATAGGACAATGCTCAATAGGCTTAACTTTAAATTTTTATTGAACGTCAGAATGTTTCACCACCATGTTATTTAACTATTTTTTGTGAAATTACTCCACTAGTTTGTTATAATTATTAATACAAAGATCGAACACTTAGAAAAAATTCCTTCGATCTGGCCGGATTCGAACCGACGTTTCGTAGCAAACCGTGCCAGACGCTATCTCAACTAAGCCACGGAACGAACCAGCGGACCCCACGAATTAATATCGATTAATTCGCGAGATGAGCACGTCGGTGCTTGTTGTCGGATCTTTATATTTGGTTTTCAACGACTTTTAGCCGTAGCGCCATCTATGAGAAATCTATAGAAGTATTTTGATCAAGTGCATGATAATAATATTGTACCATTTCTACCACAAATTTCAAAATTGCATGAGCACGTATCTCTTAATAGTTCGTGATGAGGATCAACGAAAAATATTTTTTTTCTGAGTAGGTACTGTATGCAAATACTTAGTTTAATATGATAATAGAACGCTCTAATTTCGGTTACTTACATACATTTATTTTACAATAATGTTTTGAATGTTGAGAAACATTTACTCTTATTCGATGAGGATGTCATTGTTGAAGTCTAAAACACCTCCAGCTTATCATTGACGCTTTTCAAAGGTAACGGATACATAATTGATATATCAGTAATAAAGGTTTATTTCGAATTTTAATTCAAATGGTCATTAGGTTAAGATTATTGCTGTGTACAGGTGTGACAAAGGTGGCGAGAATGGAGTCACCAGACTCGCCTCAGTTCGCTGCCCCGGTGGCCTCGCCTTCGATATCGACCGCCAAACATGTGATTGGAAAACACATGTTAAAAATTGCGATAAATTAGAAAGTAAGTACCTCCACATGGAGGAAGTGGCCGCGCGGAGGGTTAAACGGTTTCTTTGTGGAAATCAAAAGGGCATTTAGCCGCCTTCCGGACGTCCACTTCCTACCATAAACATAATTTAATATGAAATTTCTTATAACGCAGGTGCACTAGATCAGGTCTTAAACAGATCACTTGCCCGTCTGGACTGGCTTTCGATCTCGATAAACAAACCTGCGACTGGAAGGGTAAAGTGAACAACTGTGACAAACTGGAGAGTAAGTGCCGAAACAGAAGTTTTCGCGTAGCAAGCAGCCAGGCTTCGGTGAAGGGGCCGTGTCGCACTGTAGATTGTAGGAGTATTGCATGAGGCCCCAGACGGAGGAGCGGCCCTTTAAGGACCAATCCGCTGGTTACACATTAACATTCTTCGTTATCAAAAGTCAGTAATAAATCCGATAAAAAACAAAACGAAAATATCCATTACGAGGCAATGTTGATGTCAAAACTTTTACACTATAAAAACTCTAAGCGAAGTGAAAACAATTACTTTCTAGTTCCAAGACTTTGCCAGTTGGGAGTTTAACACATTATGTTGATGTATTTGAAAGCCAACAATTCTATGCACTATGAGTTGCAATGTAAATAGTAATGTTCACATAAAACACTACACACTCCTTAATTTATCTTTCTAAGTACTAATCACCTGCTTCTAAGCTTCGTTACCACTACTGGGACCACTAACCTATTTCTTGAACTCTCTTAACACGATATGGGAACTTTGGTTACACTTTAATAATGACGCAAATTCCACTACTATTTCTGTATTATACACAAATCGCTTTATTAACAAGAAACTGCTAAAATAGAAATTAGCTTTATTGTCTTTTGGTTTTTAATTTATTTCTTTGTTATTTAAAAGTTAGACAACTTTTTGTTCTCATTAAAGAAACATAATTTGTTTCCGAAAAAAAAAAATGTTCCAGATATAGTTGAATCATTAATATCGAGGCGCACATTTCTCCCATCCTTTATCCACTTAATACCAACTGCAACCTCTTCTTGGTGTTTCATTTACTTACAAGTTCATGATCATATGCAGATAATATCTACCTCACTTGTCTCAATTTTTTTTCCAACGTTTTCTCCCCATCTTTTAACTCATTAATCACAACTTGTTATGTATTTTCTCCTATGTATCCTAGTAAATATGTATAACTAGCTATTCTTCTTTTTATTTTAATTTGTCATTACATCCCGCTTAGCCAAGTTTCTTTCTTTTCTTTTCTTTTATTGACTCCTTTCTTAAACACTCTTACACAATGGTCACACAGACGAAATAAATATTTTAGGGAGACCTGCATACTTGACCGTTGGATGTTCCCGTTTCCCAGACCTTGTCCTCGAAAAATGTTCTACATTTAAAGTTGTTTTATCATTTTTTAGAACCACGCAAGATATTGCCTATCCTGAAAACAGATGAACCAATTTGCCCAGAAGGAAAATTGGCCTGTGGAAGCGGAGACTGTATTGAAAAGGAATTGTTCTGCAACGGCAAACCTGACTGCAAGGACGAGTCCGATGAAAACGCTTGTAGTAAGTATTATTAATCACAAGCGCTCGTTGATAACGGGAAATTATACGATTACTAACTAATAAATTTATTTGCAGCTGTGGACGTAGATCCCAACAGAGCCCCAGACTGTGACCCCAATCAATGCACACTGCCTGACTGTTTCTGTTCCGCTGACGGTACACGAATTCCCGGAGGTATAGAGCCTAATCAAGTACCCCAAATGATCACCATCACCTTCAACGGTGCCGTTAACGTTGACAACATTGACCTGTATGATCAAATCTTCAATGGAAACCGCCACAACCCCAACGGTTGCCAAATTCGCGGCACGTTCTTTGTCTCGCACAAGTATTCCAACTATGCAGCTATCCAAGAGCTCCACCGTAAAGGACATGAGATTGCTGTCTTCTCTATCACACACAAGGACGATCCCCAGTACTGGTCAAGTGGCAGTTACGATGATTGGCTTGCTGAAATGGCCGGTGCTCGTTTGATCGTAGAACGTTTCGCTAACATTACTGACGCTTCAATCATTGGCGTCCGAGCTCCTTATCTCCGTGTCGGTGGAAACAGACAATTTGAAATGATGGCTGATCAGTATTTCGTTTATGACGCATCAATCACTGCTCCTCTTAGTAGAGTTCCAATTTGGCCATACACACTTTACTTCCGCATGCCTCACAAATGTAATGGTAACGCTCACAACTGCCCATCTAGGAGCCACCCTGTTTGGGAAATGGTAATGAATGAATTAGACAGGAGAGACGATCCAACCTTCGATGAATCCCTGCCTGGTTGTCACGTAGTGGACTCTTGTTCTAACATCCAAACTGGTGAACAGTTCGGACGTCTTCTGCGTCACAACTTCAATCGCCACTACTCCACCAACCGTGCTCCTCTTGGTCTGCACTTCCATGCTTCCTGGCTGAAATCCAAAAAAGAGTTCAGAGACGAACTTATCAAATTCATTGAAGAAATGTTGGAGAAGAATGACGTTTACTTCACATCTTTAATTCAAGTTATCCAATGGATGCAAAATCCCACTGAATTGTCATCACTCCGAGACTTCCAAGAATGGAAACAAGAGAAGTGCGACGTGAAAGGCCAACCTTTCTGCTCGTTGCCTAACGCTTGTCCATTAAACACTCGGGAGTTACCTGGAGAGACACTGCGACTATTCACCTGCATGGAGTGCCCTAACAATTACCCCTGGATTTTAGATCCCACTGGAGAAGGATTCAATGTTAGGAAGTGATCTCTTAAGTTAAATTGATAAAGACTGTGTACACATGTAAATAATACTCAGTAATGTTAATAATGTTACTTTACACTTTAGTAATTCTGTGGCAGGGTATCCATCAACTTGAGTGAAGACTTCAAGAGTAGATAAATTAAATTATTTACGTACTGGTACAAAATTTGCTTTCATAGGTTGATGATTGAAGAAAGCATAGCCACGCGCCTTTTTTATTGTTTTACCGCAAAGCTAGGTAAACTTGATGTTTCCATAAGTAGTTTAAGTTATATAAAACATTACGGACAATAAAATTTTAATTGGATGTTGTTATATTATTTTCACACCATGAGACAAACGGAGCATTTGACCTGAAATTCCTAAAACTACTCGACTGCAACCAGCTGGAAACAGGAAGTAATGTTTCATCTTTTCGTATAATGTTTTACATCTAAGAAAATCTGTATATCGGGGTAGATTCATAAAATTCTTTATTTAATTATAAGTTGTTTTTTTAAAATATGATATATTAGGAAATGAAACTATTTTTCCGGATAAAAATCGCGTATATTTGTTTTTTCAAACAAACCGACATTTCGGGCCCTTTACAGGTCCCTTAGTCACGGTTGACGGTCCACGGTCCCGTGGACGCGATTTCAATCCGGAAAAATAGTTTCATTTCCTATGTGTAACAATCGCGAAACCTAAGAACTCGATAAATATTAAATATTATTAAAAAACCCGAAACCCGCTTTGGGCTAAACTTGTAGATTATGAGGCTAACACTTCTTACAAGATCACCAGTGTAGGTACACTGATCCGTTCTAATCGAATTGATCAATACGGGGTAAGATAAGTATATAAAATTCCACCACAAATTTTTATTCAATTATGCAACTATGAAAAGAAAAATCACAATATAAATCTCATTACGCTGTATCCTACATTAAAAACTTGAAGCTGTGACGACTCCATACGGGCAGAGACCACTTTAGGTCTATATAAGGTCAATAAGTCTTCAGAGACGGATGTTAGCATATATACTCCCGGACACATAATTCGAGCCACCTCGCGTTTTTTCTTAAAAAGGCTAGAATACAGAAATAGTGTTATCATCGAAGAAAAAGGTTTCCCCCGGTTTTGCAAGTCCAAATTTCCAACAAGGACTTATGGAAAAGACTTTTAATATACTAGTTTCAAAATTGCGTAGGATAGTTCTTGATCAATCGAACATTATTTAAGTTTAGTGCATTTAGTACTGATGCGAGGTGTGAATTATGTGTCCGGGAGCGTATATAAGAATGTTAGTTTTAAACAGTAGTAGCATGAAGAGTAACTGGGTCATTCTACCAACGAGCGAAATAAAAAAATTAAATATTATAATCATATTTCATTGTTTTGGGTTTACTTATACAGAAATATGTAAAAAAAGTAATAAAAATGCTGACAGAGTTTAATAAAATCAATTTTGAAAGAAAACTCATTTTTTTAGTTTTTACTGCTAGACAGGAGTGGTTATGAAACCGACAGAAATTAACATAATTTACCTGAGTATTTTGTCGTATTTAAATTATTGAATAAAATCAACTTTAAACTAAACAAACTTAAAAATCCAGTTTCTTTTTCCTCGTGGAAATTTAAAAATTATAAAATTACTCGTAATAAAAACTTAATAAAACTTGTCGACAGAAGATACGTACACTTCTGTCGATTTATTTAAAAAATAGCTTCATCAGATGACACCAACCATAAACATGATTGCAAGCGCTTCAACAATGTAGGACGATTATTTTCTGCTCAAAAAACAGCAATTCCATTTACATCATCCTTGGCATCAACTCCAAATCAAAAAACAGGACAATCATGAGCCTTAAGGTGTAATGTCGACATTTTATTATAAAGGTTGTGATAGTGCGTCGTCATTGCTATCTGTATAATATAATATATGATTCAGTATAATAGAATTCTAGACTCTTGGATTTCGATTCAACGATTTGAGATGGAAATGCCGATGGTGAAATACGGCTGAGTTGGTAAGTTTGACTGGCTTTGGGTGAAACATGGATGTTTCGATGGCGATTTTGGTTCTTAAACCTCAGTTACTCTAACATCTCCCACTTTGTGATGAGAATAGATTTCATCATGTCTGTAAAAAGGGCAGTTTAATTTTGCGAATGTCGTAATTCACGGTTCCGGATTGATTTTATTCCATGTTAGAAATAAATCATTATTTCAATCATTATTATCTTCTTTGAATCTTTTATGAAGATTTATTTTGTCGCTTAAAAGTCTTACTTGTTTCTTTTTCTTGTGATTAGTTTCTTTTTCTAGTTAAGGGAAGTTAAGTGGCTAACGTCCTCTTGAATCGTCACTTCTATTGATATATTATTGCATCCTCTTTGTTCTCAGTGGGTGCTCTTATAACGTTTCTCCCCAATACGAATGTCGGTATTCTTCCTCTCAAATACATATTTTTAGCTCTATTTCTTCTTGTATTTTTAAAAGCAGGGAAGGGGTGCTTCTTTAATTACTCTTAATTCAGTTCCTTTCAGCGGTTTCATCTCAATATAATGCTTTTTAATGGTTTTCTTGCCTTTGCTTACAAAGTTGCTTGGTTTTCGTGATTGCTAATGAAAAAAACAAAACAACAAAAACAAACAAACAACATTGTAAATGAAACAATTATTTTTTTCGTAAATTATCGTGTATATTTCTTTTTTTAAATAAACCAACGTTCCTATGATCCATGACTATGGGACCTTTAAAGAGCCCAAAATGCAGGTTTTTCTAAAAAAAAACAAGCATGTGATTTAGATCCGAAGAAATAGTTTCATTGCGAATTTGGTTATTTTTTATTCTCGTATGATCTTTAATCCCCTTTACTAAAGCAGACTTTTTTCTTTTTGCAACTTTCTCCGACTTTTATCTCCTTTCATCCAATATAGCTTGTTAATTTCATTATGTTTTTCTTTATCCGTTCCCTTTGTTGGTTTTTCAGCGTTCCTTCTAATAACTTATTTTATGGCCTGTAAAAATACTGTTTTTACAGTTAATCAAAAACATGCCAATTTAATTAATATAAAAATAGCTTAGTATGTCAATGACTAACTAGGTAAGAAGATGTATAGATAATCACTTCTGTCGATAAGCTTTTTAAAAAACACAGTTGATAAAATATTTAAAAAGCAGCGAAAATTGAATAATACGGTAGTATCAATCACTAAACAGAAAAAATATATATAATAAGCAATAATCAATTCTGTCGATAAATATGTTGACTGACGTGACATAGACAGAAGTGACAAAATGTAACTGACGCAAAATATAAACTGTACATTTGAAGTTACATTAGTTGGATTTATTCTAAACGTTAAAAACCCTATCTTCTTCAAAGTCCAAGGTGTGCAAGTTTGAAATTGATGGTGGCCGTATATATTTCACTTTAAGAAGTGACACGTTAAGTTACACACATTTGTAGAACCTCTTTTCAATTATGATTCAATTCATTGACCTACCAACAAATGGACGCCAGGTCTAACACAAAAACCACGAAAAAAATGTCCGAAGTTAACCTATACAAACGTAGTGACATGTAACGAAATATAAAAAACTAAAACATTTTAATTTAAATTGTGACGTTATTGCAGTACTGTCTAATTTTGCAACAATTTAAGGGCCCCAAAAAACACCATATTCAGCTTCTACTGGAAATTTAACAAAATGCACCATATTTAGCTTCCACTGAAAATTACTTGAACACAAGAGTAATGGAGTAGCCTATATCGTAAGAAATAATTAATTTTTATATATGTATATTATTATGTCGAATTCACTTAAAAAATTAATAAAGAGTTGGGCAGATACATACAAATATTACTACAAATGTGAAAATAAGCGTGTACTATAAGAAATGTACCGATATCCCAACTAAATGCCTAATGTAATTCCGAAGACCGATTTATAATAAAACCGTTACGCTTTCGAGTAATTTTCATGCTTTTCACAAAGACAAAATTAGCTTTTGTTTTAAATCTTCCTAAAAAATACACTTGACATCTTAGAATAATAACGCCGTTATTATTCTAAGTTTGACATTATGAAAATTCGAGCTAACGTTATTTCGGGCAAATGTATTGTTTTACTTCTTATAGGTAATCCCAAGCCGTAAAACGACTACAACAATGTTTTGTTAGTTATTGCTAACGTTTAATATATATAAAAACATTTTTAAAATAAGATGAAAATCAAAGCGACTCTATAGTTTCTTTTTCTAAATATTTCAATCGCTTGTGGTTCGAACAATTGAAAATGACTAAGAAGTTTACATAAGCTTCTTGAAATTGACGTAATGGGTCGCTTTCCATCTTTTGCGCATGCAATGTACAAAAAGGACAATTAGCTATTTGACTACTTTGTGTGATTGTGTAATTTATATTTACGATTCATTTATGCGTAAATTTAATAAATTAAATACTATAAAACTGTACAAAATAACACTTTTAAATGAGAACTATGATGACACAATATATTTGTTTAGTGAAAATATGATACAAAATCCTGTTTTTACACTTTACAGCTGTATAATTTTTACAAGTTATTATTATATGGTACTGCATGATTGACAACCGCGCTGTCAGTCGAAGAAACAAAGACTGTTGCGCGATTGACGCTCTCTATGCGATTTTAACGCCCTATAGGTACGGACACTTTTTAGCGCGAACCCGACATCCATTTATTGGTAAGTCAATGGTTCAATTCGAAATTTTTTGTTGATATATTGACAGATAGTATTTAGAGTTGCCATTATAAGCCAAAAAACTTTACCAAGTATGAATATTCAAATTCTGCGGGTTAAAACATAGCACGACAATAGTGACTAAATTTTTATAACGCTAGTAGAATGGTCTGTCATTTCTTTACCTGACGTTCTAATTTTTTTTTAATTACATATTTCAACAATTAACGATATGAGCAATTGAAATAACTTTCTTTCAACTGGTTACAAAACGTATTCTTTTTTTGAGCATGGTCAAACTTGACGACATAACTAGCGATCAGTCGACAGCATGTGATTTGTCACGTACTGGCAGAAAATACAGTAGAAATTATACATTTTATTGAAATGTATTATCATGAATATGTAGATTAATAACATTACCTATCTCAGTTACACACAGTTATACAATAAGTTATATAAACGAAGAAAAATTGCACGAACACAGATTTCGCTTGTACATAGAATGACCCAATTAAGACCAGCACCACCATAAAACTAAGGCCAATCATATACACATCTAAG